CCTTTCACAATGTCCTTCTTGTCTAATCTTGGTGCTACAACTGTTGGCTTCTTCTTCCCTTTCAATTGAGCCAAAGGCATATCTTCACTACTGTTGTCCTCTTCATCTATTTCCATAACCTCGTCCTCGACTTCTTCTTCATCCTTCTGAACCAAAATCTTCTTCTTCTTTGGCGCTTCTACCGGTTCTACCTTGCCTCTTCCTCTCTTGACTTCTACATCATACACTCTTGTGCCTGCTCCTGCCATAGCCGCCTTGAAACCTCTACTAGTAATCCCTGGTGCCTTCCAATTCTCTAAGACTCCACAATTGGCTCTTAACTCCTGAACTTGTGGATCTCCATTTGCTGCTCTAGTTAAGAGTCCTGTCACCACTGTTTTTTCTGGTATTACTACAGCTGGACCAGGTGAAGCTTGGTTTGTCGCCTGAGTTCCTCCTCCCTGTGCCGCAGCAATCTTCTCCTGCTCTAACTGTAATGAATAGTCTGCAACCACAGTTCTAATTGGTCTACTACTATCCCATCTGACAACTGCTCCATTTGACAAGACATAAGTGTTATTGTTCTCTTTTACATATCCATCATTGATTTCCCGCTGCTTGTCCAGGCACCTATTATGACCGTGTCCTTCTTTTCCACAATAATAACACATTACTGGCCCATCTCTAAATGTTCTCTCTTGAAACTCTCCTCGAGGAGGTCCATTGTTAGGTGGTGGTGGTCCGTAAGACCCACTGGATGGCTGTTGATTGCCATTGTTGTTTTGTTGGAACTGTCCAGATGAATTGTTCCATTGAGAGTTTGAGTTGTAACCCCCTCTTCCTCCTCTATTTCCGCTGTAGCCTCCTCTACCTCTATTCATTCCAAAGTTGGCATATTGGCCACCATGTTGATGATTAGGGCCAGAACTATTATTGTTGAAGTTCTGTCCCCCTTGTTGACCTCCTCTATTAAAGTAAGTTGAAGAGTTGAATTGAGGTGCTGGGCCTTGGTTTTGAACTGGGGGTCCGGAGTTATTTTGCCCAGATTAAGAGTTGTTCTGGAAACCTTTATGAACATGGTTATTCTGACTTGTAACCAAAGGTCTATTTAACCCTCGTCCACTCCATGCCGCAAACTGTTGCACTAGTTCACTGATAGTTGCCTCGTCCCCGGACTTTCCGCCAATCTTCTTATTCAAGCCTTCCATCTTCATTCCCCTTCGTTCCTTATCCTTTTGTACTACCTTCTCCTTAAGTTCTTCATCCTTCTTTGTCTCTACTTCCTTCTTTCCTCACAATTCTTCAAACACCAATTCTACTTCTGCTTGAACCACCGTATGAATTGTTTTCTTAAGTATCTTCCATCCAGGCAGCCAATGTCTTCCATCCTTAGTCCTTCTTAAATCACCATCATCTCGTAACTTCTCTTTGATCTTCTTCTGCATACTATCTGAGAACGCTCTATAGTAATAGTTGCAGATCTTGTCTTCTGAGTCAATATATTTGTATTTCTTGAGGTAAACCAATATGCTGTCAAACTTATGTCTAAAACCTTCAAATTCCAACTTTGAATCAATGCCTCCATTTCCTTCATATTCCAAAACTAGCTCCTTTAAGTCTTCCACCGTATATTTAGGCGCCTCCCGAATTGATGCATACCAATCTTTCATTTCTGTCTTCAGTAATGCCCAATCCCATTCTCCTTCTCCCCAACCTTTAAGTTCTTTAATTTCTTCTTTCAACTCTTTTCCATTCACAAAGGCACAAACTTGCATTGCCATATCCTCGCCGTTAGCTCCATCCACCTTTGCTGTAACCTCGAAATCCCGTAAGAACTTCTGAACATCATCACCATGACTAAACCGTAACTCTGAATCTTGTGGCTCAATTTTTACGACTTTCTTCTTTCCCTTCTTACTCTTTTTCTTCTTCTTGACCTCCACTTTGCTTTCATCCTCCGAACTTGAACTCTCTTCACTACTGCTATCCGAACTCGAGCCACTACTACTACTGAAACATTTCTTCTTTCCCTTTCTTCCCTTCTTTGACTTTTTGTTTGCCTCCTCTAACAACTTTAATAATTTCTTCATCTTTTCTGCCTGTTCTTCAGCCTCCTTGATATAATCCTTTGCTTCTTCAACTGTAATCTCCCCAGTTTTTACCATTCTTTCTGCATGATCAATTGAAATTATCTCCTCCTCTACCATTCCTTCTACTCCTTTTGTTGTAACATCATCCCCCGAGTCATCCTCACTTTCTTCCTTCTCTCTATATAACCCCTTTTTGTCTTGACTAGATCCTTCCTGAACACTAGTACCACCACTTTTACCAACTACAGACAAAGCATTCTCTGCCGTAATTTGTTTAGGATCCATTGATGATCCAAGATTGCCTTGAGATGACATTTTGAGATTTGAGATTTTACTGAGGTCGGAATGTAATGTTTGAGATATATAAAGTTTGATGATTTGTTGAAACTACGATGCGTTGGAGCACCTGCGGAGACGCAGAAGTTGTTTTGAGTTGCCCCAGTGGAGTCACCAGATGTAGAACTCCTACGCAGTGTAGCGTAGGCTGAGCCGGAGAGGGGAAGAATCACCACTTGTGAGAGCGGATGAAACTACAGGTGCTGCAAAGCTGCCCTCGTCCTTCAAAAATGATTTCGAAATTTGAGATGAGGCTTCTCTACTTTTCACTTCTCGTCTTTTTAAGGTTTTCCAAAACCTAATTTACACCACGCAGTTGGATGCGCAGCGTTTGGCGGAGTCTAACAGTATTACACACGACTCTACACAAGTTTGTAGTACAGAGATATGTAAACTCGAGTTGAGTGTTGATTTCCACAAGGGTGTAACACCCCGGTACAGGTCTGGAATGAATTGCTGACTCTGACTCGACCCGGCCTCGACTTGGATCAAGAGGCGGGTTATCGAATTGATCTTTAACACTTCGACTTTTTACAAGCTGACGACTAGATTATAACCAAGCTCAGCATCCACAGAACTTCAAAACAAACAAAAGCTCAACAACTCAAATCTAAAGAAACTGACAACACTCTTTCTACTTTTACACTGAATTACTAACTCGAACACACAATAGATCTAATTCTCTTTGATCAACACGGAACAGTACACTTTTATCGAATTTAACTCGATTAAGACACACACAATCAAACTCGTACACAAAAATCGGATACAAAAATTTTCTGCTCCCCCTTCCTTTCCCTTCGAACAGTCCCCTATTTATGCCTTTCACTCACGCCCTTTCAGCTCATGACGTGTCCCCTAAGACTCAACCCCAACGTGTTTCCTCCGACCGATCGTTCTCGAAGCCGATTTATCATTTACTCAATATGTAAGTGTTTTTTTATTTCCTTCTCTTACTTGCTTCCTTGTATCGATCATCTTCTACGACTGATGTCTATCTTTTCTTCGATCTCCAGCTCAGATTCACATCTTCAACTACTTCGTTATAGTGTCTGTACCCCAAAACCCGATCCCTCCTTTCAATACCATCTTCACCTACTCATTCCACTTTCGATCTCGAATTCCAATCTCGATCTAGCTTATCTTTGGATCTAAAAGTCAAGATTCCTTCATCTTTCAATTTGACTTTGATACTTGATTACTATATGAACATGTGAGTCCTGTCTGAGTCTCTTCAGCTATGTGACTACAACCCATTCGATTTCAGCCTCTTTCTAACTACCTCTTTCGACTCTCTCATCAATACTGTATCTCGCATTTTAGGCTATCACAACCCTTTTCGATTTTGAGACTTCTTTTGATACTTTCAACTGTTTATTCCGTATGTTCCCTAAAACTTGATCCTCTACCTTCAACCTGTTCTACTCAATTTCGATCTCGAGATGCAATTTTAATCTAGTTGTAACTTCGAGCCTGAAAGTGACCTTTCTATTACCTCTTCTCGGACTCAATTCTGTTCAATTCCCCTTCTCTAAACTTGCTATCTTATCTATTACTTCAACCCAAATCTTTGTTCCGTGTTATAGCTCATCATCATGCTTTGTTTAACTACATGAGTTACTTTGTTATCTTGTCTAACTTTACTAGATATGATATCTCCTAAAAATGAAAAACACATGATTAAGTTTTGGCTCCCTTTGTTGACTATCAACTTGACTCGAGCTTGAAATCTGCTCTCAGTGAGTAAGACTTTGAGCTTCTCGAACCCTTCTTCGTGTATATAAAGGTGAGGGTGATGGTGTGTTCTGATCACCACACCGTCACCAGTTTCCTTCGTTGGATGAAGCAGGAATTCCAGCTCCTACCAAAGGCTTTTATGACCGATTGTGCACCTGCCTACGCCAAGGCGGTCAAAGACACGTACGAGGACTGCAGCTTCAAACCCAGACACTACTGGTGCATCTTCCACGTCTCTCGTGCCATCAAAGCGAAGGCAAAGATACACGTGAGCTACGCCCTGCACCCAAATTTGTTTGTAAGCTAAACAACTCTATCCCTAGGGCGGTACCAAACTCGCAACACGACTGCACTCCAATGCCATGGCCGTGATTTACGCCCGCCGATGGCAGGATGCCATCATCAAGTTCCGACACGATTACCGCAACACCCATCCTGACTTCCTATCATACTTCGAATATCAATGGGTCAACAACTACTCCCATTGTATGATGTCGGAGCGAGACGTACCTATGCAGGGTATTCACACAAATAACTTCACGGAAAGCTACCACCGTGTCTTGAAATATAATTTCCTTAGTCGACACACTCTCCGCCGACCAGATGACCTGCTTCAAACATTAGCCGAAAAAGCGGAGCCGGATTTTTGACAGAGTGTTCTCACGCAACAAAGTACCAAAATGTTGCCAAATGCCTATCCGAAACATACACTGATAGAAACCTTGCTGACCTCGGCGTGCAGATCAAAAGCCAAGCAACTAACAAGGTGAGTTCAAAACGCAAATGAGAACCCTGGGCACATTCATTTCACTGATCTCACCTGAACAGTGGACAATCAGCAGTTTCACAAGGCCTCAAATGGCCATGTACACAGTCCATACGACACCACCGAAAGACGGGAGTGTCGGCTACGTCAACAACTGTAATTGCACGCACTTCCTGCAAAACAAATCGGCGTGTAAACACATGTACGTTATTGCCAGGCAGAACACCTTCAACATTCTCAAGACCAATCCCAAAGTTGATGACAGAACCTTGCCTTTCGAGTTCCGCCGTATCGTGGAACCATTCAACATCGTTCTTCGTACCTTGACCAACGTTCACCCAGACTCCCCACCTCCATCACCCGCACTCAATCCTTAAAGCTCCGCCCCAGGACTAGGTCGTACGCCTTCTACCAGCGGTCTCCCTTCCGGTAGTTATTGTTACGCGCCAATGGTTCCAGCACCCTTACCCTATCAGCTCAACATCGAAAACCCACAACAACCACAACGAAGCGGCCTCCATTCTGGTACTCCTCCCCGCGCTGTGAAACCACCAACGTCACATCCTGGTGCATCTGCAACATCGGATCGATGGCTCCCTGAGTCCTCTCATTTGACCACTGGCTTGACTGACCCATCCAGTGACTCGTACATAGAGCGCTTGTTCTACAACCCTCATCACCTCCAATCTACGCCTCCTCCCCACCACGCCGGGCCATACGTAGGACACCCGCTCTCACAAAACGCCGTACCGTACCCAAACTCGCCTTTTCTCAGGGAGGTTGCCCGGAATCCACAATGTGGTCCGGCACCGCCGTTACCCGCTACATCCTCCAGCCACTTCATGAACCACTCGGCAACTTCTAATACTCGCACATCACACGGAGCCTCATCTAGCAGCTCTTTCACACCGCGTCGTCACTACTACAGCCTTACCGAGAACGATGTCCCGGACCTAGCACCACCACCACCGCCACCTACTCAGATGACCTACCATCTTGACCCCCAGTCACTATTCCGCGCCCTCAATCAACACGTGCCACCACCCGTTCCGCAAGCTTTGCAACGCACGCCAGAGGTTACACCTGCCCCGGTTACCACTTCTCAACTAGATGGCTTATTTGATGAAATGGATTGAGCTCGGCAACTCCCGGCCTCTGTTGAGCCTCGCTACCGTAATCTTACGCCCCCTGGGCCTCGCGCCACAACGGAACGGCCAGCGGCTCCCGTTCCAGGCGCCAACCTACCGGGAGCTCCGGCTACCAAATCCATGTACGACGGTTTTCCTTTCATCCAAAACATGTACGTTTCTATGCTATGCCAGTTTCGCGGCCGCTGACCATCAATCAACAGTGCTGCCTTCTACAGGCTTCCCAGCGCGGCTCAACCCGCCAACGCGTGCCATTCAATGCAAAGCACCCATCGCACTGAGACTAATGACCGTCACGTGGCCCACACAACTACCGATTCGTCTGTATCGCGTTCAACTACATCCCACCATGCCTCGACAAGTTCTCATCGATTGGAAACCACCAGGAGTCACGGATCTACCGACACCGGACCTTTTGTCCTGACGGTAGCCAAAGAAGACGCTTTGCGGGCAGTCGAATCACGTAACTTCAAACGCAAGGACGATTTTGCAGGACTTTGTACTGCCCTTCGCCGGATCAGTGCCGAAGCTCCGTACGAAGCCAAAGACACAGCTCTCTCAACCTACAATGAACAATTAGTTGCTGCAATCCGCAAAGAAGCGGAAACGTTCTTGGCTAGGCTCAGGAACTTCAATGGCGGCAACAGGCCAAAGAAGCAGCGCCGTTTCTGATGAACTCAATCAAAATGCCAACACACTGCTCTCTCGTTTCTCACTTTTCTCAAGCTTTCGTAACACTCATTCTCCGTTTTTCTTGAACCCCCATCTTACAGTGTCTATTTCAGCGGATACACTAACATACACGCCAATTCTCAAAATCTCCGTTTCTCTACAATCGTTTCGCTCAGACTTTGGTTGTTCTTTGTTTCTCTCATTGGCTCAGCACCATTTCACTTTCTCTACGTTCGTTTCTCTTGTTGTAATCGCGCGGCGTTGCCCTGGTCCTTGCTTTTCGTTTGGACTGCATTTTGCGCAATGAACGCTTCGTTTCTCCGCTGAAACACCGTCTCGTGATTCCGGTCTAATTCCTTTCCGCGCTAATGCGTCTAAGCAATTAAATCCCGCAATGCTTGGGTTTGCAAAACAGCGGAGATGCGTGTTAGCCCCGCGGGCCAAAGGCACCGCGGGTGTAGCAGTGAGATCCGCAGTGCGAATCCGCTTTCGTTTCTTATTCCCGATTTTGATCGTTAAGTATAGCAAACCTGCTGGTGGAATAAGCGCATGCTTGCTAACACCAACCATGATCACAATTGTTGCCAATTTCAAATGGTTAAAATTATCAAATCAAGAGTGAACAAATCAAATTTTCAGACTGTAATTCACCCAAACCCTGAATCTTCAATCTCCTAGATCAATCCAACCAGTCATTCACCAAAAAAAATTGGCTAAAAAGTACCTAAATAAAGCAGGTACTGACCTGAGACTTCCTGGTGTTACTGAAGGCCTGTATGCCTTGGTCTGGTCCCCTGAGGCTGACAAACATCATCACAAGATCAATGAATAGCCATCCATCAGGGATTATCCTGAGGTCATCAAGGTTTTATTTGTTGTAATTCTGATCAGCAGCTTCATAATCTGACAATGACACCACAGGAATGATCAAGTCAAAAACCCAATTAAGCAAAGTTATGGTGTCCAAATGCACAAATTTTCTTAATCACAGATCTTTTTCACAACTTGTTCACATTGAGTTTGCAGGTTCCGCTTAAGCCACCCTCTACTATACCAATACTAGCATGTTACCATATGTAGTACATACAACATGGATTCCCTTGCAAGTCATCAGAAACCTTCTTTGTTATTATTCTGGTCTATCTTTCTGGGTTTCAAACCAGTGCTTTTGCCACGCCTCCAAAAAGCATTGTCTTATCACAGTCATCTAGGTTACTTACCAACAATGTCAAACAACACTGGCTGTTTAAAATATTGAGAGATATTGACAGTGAATTGTACTTATCATTCAAAGTTGTGATGAAAGATATGATCTTTCTCTACGATCCAGATGATCAACCAATAAAGAAAGGAGCTTGACAGGAACAAATTGAAATTTGATGTTGTACATACAAATGGAGAGTATAGCTCAAAGGAAACCTGTGAATGGGATATGAACAAGATCTGTGATTGAGAAAAGTTGCAGACTTGAACAGGACCCCAATGAGTGCTGAAGTGATATTGCATACCAACAAGTTGGCATACCTGCCCTGGCCAGACTATTTTTGGGTTGTCTCTTAAACAGAGACAATGTCTTGCATTCCAAAATATGCCCCTGGGCCAGGTCTATTGATTACATATACTTCTGAGTATCTTTGATGTGTAATACCCAAGATTTGATAATATGTAAATACCCAGGCCAACAGGTATGAATACCCCTTGAGCCTAAGAGGAAAAAGTTATAGAATGCACATTTCCACAGCCATCAGACATGCTGGGGGTCTTAGAGGTGTGTCATCTGATAGCCTATGTCTGTGACCATCTTTTACATCTGTCACAGGTCTAGTACCGTATTGCACGGTTTCACAAGGTGATGATCATTGTTTTGTTGGTATGATACCTCAGCACTGTCCAGTGGCTTACTTGGACACCACAAATTTGCTCAATTGGATTTTGAATTTAATCATTCCCACAGTGTGAAATGCTGTGGTCTAGGGCTGTGACCCAGACCCAGCCCAGCCCAGCCAAGTTTGCCCAAATGTTGTGAAAATCAAAACATGTCTACTTTTCATATTTTCTAAAGACCTCATTTACTTTTTGAAACTCAAAGTTTTCTTTCATTGAAGATCATCTTTAACATCATAGTTTGATTCAACATTTTATCTGCAAGATCATTTTTTTATAAACTCGGGTTTTTTCATTTTTTCATTTTGGATCAATTTTAATATACTCAAATCAATTTACGATCAGGTGATTTGATTCAAACACAAACAATTCCTTTAGTTTATTTTGTTTTATTTCAAGATACACAATCATCATGAGAAAACATCTTAAAATATTATAATCACAAGATAAAAGACAACATTAAATAAAATAGAAGAAATACATAGCAACAATTAATTAAATTAAATCAAAATTAAATTGGAGTAACTTAGCTAGTATAAGAGGAATTAGAAAGAAACACAGATGCAAACTTACTTAAAACTTATAATTGAAAGATCCATCAAAAGAAACTTGAAATTGAATCAAAGGAAAGGAAGATCAGTTGATTAGAGCAAGAGAAAGTGCCGAGAAGTTACTAAAATCAAATTAATTAAACAAGTCTATTACACCAACTCGACTAGCTAGATCATTAGAAGAACAATGATGCAATCTATTTGGAGTTAATTTAAATTAATAAACAAATTCAATTACATACTAAATTAATTAGTAATAGATCAAATTACATATCAAATCAACGAATTCAAATTATTAAATCAAATAGAAAAGTTAAAAGGAATCAAATGAAAGTGACAAATCGAAATGAAAGAGAACAAACAGATGAGTAAAGAAAGAATAGGAAGTGACATGAGAAAGGAACTTACATACAAATTGAAATATGTAATAGGGGTTGCGGGAGGGGAAAGTAGTGTGTGAAAGCGTCAATCTTATGTAAATCGGGGGGATAGGAGACTAAATTTGCTAGACAGTGTGATGGTGCGAATAGGGAGATGAAAGGTATATAAGGAGGGGGTCTGGAGGCGAAATTTGGGGAGTTTTAATTGTCCAATTGTCCAATTTGTCCAAGTGTGTGTGTGGGTGCTTATTGAGTAGTTTTTTGTTAGTGTTTTATTTAAAGTGTTAAAGTGTTTAATTCAAAGTGTCCTTTAAAAGTATTAGACTTTTAAAAGTGTTAGATGTTAGTTTTAAATGATCAAAGTCAAAGTCTGTTTTAACTATCTAGCAAAGATAGTAATTAAATAGTAGTATCTGTGTGTGTCTCAAGTTTTAGTGTAGTTCTTATTTTTTTAGTGGAAATTTTTTGGCAAATAAACTTCAATCATCTCAACTCTATCTGTAGAAGTTTAATCAACTTCTATAATCATCATCATCATCAACTTTTTTCATTAGTATATTTTAGTCTTCTTACAAGATCTTAGTGTTGGAACTTCTTTGAAAGTCATTGGACTGCGAAGCGTAATTGATTATTTGTGTAGTGTTGTTTTATACTTTCTTCAACCCTAGTCTATTCACTTTAAGTGTCTAGAAGCCTCTGGTGACCACTCAGTACTGTCTTTGGACAAGTCAGAGCTATTTTGGACCTAGGTTTGGTACTGATTTATCAGTAGAAAGGATAAAATAACATTATTACAGGTGTTGATTGTGTGTAGCAGGAAGATTTGGCTAGAATTGTGCTCCTCGGCTCTGAACTTAGAGATTTCTAAAGGTTGAGGGCAGCTTAACTGCAACTGTTGTACTTCCATTCTCTCTGGCGGTACTTCATCCCCTCTCCGGCTCAGCCTACGCTGCACTGCGTAGGAGTTCTACAATGTATCTTTCAAGTGGACAATCTGTTCCCTGTCAGCCCTAAGTACATATACATGTACCCAAAACTAACCTGTAACAGTCAAAACACTATATCACATCAATTACATATACATACAGTCCAGGAACAGTATGTAACCTGTGCTGTAACATACAAAAACACTTATTACATATACATGGTCACTTAACACAACATGTAATATGTACTGAAACATCATTTATACCTCATAACTCAGTGTCAAGAGTTGAAATGCTTATATTAAAAATTGTGACCAACATGCATATGTAATTAAGTATCCCTAGTGATGATCATAACATCTAGTAATGATCAACCCTGAACCAATGTAGTGATAGAAAAAAATATCACCACAGTTAGGTTTGGAGAGGAGAGTACATGTATAAACCCCTCCTCTCTCAGCTTTCAGAGATTTCCCCCAAGCTTTTATTACACAACACTTTTAAAGAACCCCTGTAGATTATTATTGAAGTGCATACAGTCAAACCGGAAAAGCTTGACCAATTTTGTCCGCAAAACTCAAGCAAATTGGCGGGTAATTGGTGGCAAGCTTTTCCGGTTTGACTGTAATCAAGAGTCTTATAATATAAGACTAGTGATTCACTTAAGTAATTTAAGACGTTTCCTGACTAAAAGTAAGTAGTACAACTTCCTTCTGGATCCTCTACATACTTCCCCCAAGTAGAAACAAGTCTAGGTAGGTGACCTTGAGAGCAACCCCAAGTTGATGACTTTAAGAACAACCAGTCTAGTGATCTTCAAGTTAACCTCACTCTTCACTCTGTCAAATTGAAGATTCAAGGAAAACCTTGGATCCAGTTTTCATCAACATCATAATCTTTTATTACTTACAATTGTAATCTCCTTTTTAGGAGTTATTTAACTGTAGTATGTCTGGATTTATTCAAACAGACCAGTCCCTTCCTCCATTTTGCTTCCTTTGTTTATAATTTTAATTGTAATGACTTTATATTGAAATATAAATATAATTATTTAGAATCATAATACTCTACTTGCCCATTTTAGCAAGCCTTGAGCACTCTGCTGAGTACTCAACACTCACATTCCCTATCACACTAAAACCTAGTCACAAATGCCCTGTAAGCATGTCTGAGCCTGAGGCCTTGAGCTCCCGGGTACCCTTGGTTTTTTTGCTCAATGATTTGTTTTTTTGATCTTTTTCTTTCAAAATAGGATCAGTATATCTCTTTTTGATGTCCAAGTAGGCTCATTTCTAACTTAACTAAGTCCCTATTCTCTTGCCGCGAGCTTGCGAGCATAGGGACTTATGCCTTATCTCGCTTTTCTTGCTGACAAGCACAATTCCCTTTTGGTGGGAGAAAATGGCACCAATAGAAAAGTTTTGCATTTGATAATAACTTTTTTTGTTAGACTCAGTTATTACCATTCAACTTCTTCCACATCTTTCTGTCTCTTCACGTTTCCGGAGTCTCATCAAAATCAAAAGTTCTTATTGATGTCAAAATTTGTACTTTTGAAATTTCAAAAAGAAATGCGAGTGATGTTACATGTGTCATGTAAACAAAAAATCCAAATTTGACCCTTTTCATTAAGAGTATGAATTTTGAGACCAATGGCAACTTTTGCTTTTGATGAGAATTCAAAAAAGTGAGGAGACAGAAAGGTGCGCAAGAAGCTGAATGATAAGACTTGAGGCTAACAAAAAAAGTTATTATCAAATGCAAAACTTTTCTATTGGTGCCATTTTCTCCCACCAAAAGGGAATTGTGCTTGTCACCAAGAAAAGCGAGATAAGGCGTAAGTCCCTATGCTCGCAAGCTCGCGGCAAGAGAATAGGGACTTAGTTAAGTTAGAAATCAGCCTACTTGGACATCAAAATTAAGTTAGGCTCATTTAGCCTTTAAATAAATTCTGATACAAATTCAATGGCAACATATTTCAAAAATCATTACATTTTGACACACACCTTTCTGCACATGTAAACCATTCAAGATGTGCCCTGCTTGGTCCTGAGTGATTTTGTGATACCCAAGGCCTGAGTTGGCCCTGAAGGTTCAGGGTTGGTTCACAACCCTACTGTGCAATGAAGTTGCATCCATCATCCCAAAAAAAAGCTGTAGAGAAATGTTGTCTGGGAAGTTGATGTATACACACCTATGATTATTTCTTATTGATTAACTTCAACTCATCTAAAGTACCTCTCAATCCTTTGGATATATATATCCAGGTTTCAGGTTTCTCAAATAAGAACATTGAAATTTATCCTAATCAAGCATTCATTAATGTCTTTGTAACAAATCAGTCTTTCTGATCAATAAGATACAAATCTTGGGTTTCAAAAAAAAACTGAATTGTATCAAAATCAAAATCATAAAATCTCTCATCTATACATCCAATTTAAATCCCTTCCAATCTTTTTCCAAAAAATAAACCATTTCCAAATAGAAAAATAATAATGATAAACTTCAATCAAATCTCATCAATAAAAAAAGGTCAACTCATTTACTTAAATGCTTTTTTTGCCTATTTATCCATTTATTTATATCTAGATAAATTCTATACTTTCCAAACCAAACCAAACACCAAAAAAAAAGATCTCCATCCATCCAAAACCTATATAATTTTACAAAACCACAAAACCAAACACACAGAAAAAAAAAAGTCCACCCGAATTTATTTATTTACAAAAGAAAAGTCAAAAGAAAAAAACAGATAAATAAAACCACAACTTAATGAATGAACAGATTTGTTCAACAAACTCCAAGAGAAAGTAACCCAAACTTTTTCATTCCACCAAACTGTTTACTAACCCTAATCCTACACTTCACTAAACCAATCAAACATCTCATATTACCTATTCTTAACTTTAGGTCCAAGACACAAGACTCCATTCCTAGTTCCCAAACCCATACTGATGACGGATCCATCGGACGATTTCCTACCCTGAATCTTATCCTTACCAACACCACCACCATTACTAGAGCCCACAGCCAAAAGTTTTCGTTTCGAATGAGAGGTAGTATTAGTGGTACCAAACAAACTAGGTAAATGTAAATCTTCTTGAGCATCTAAGAAAAGGTTAGGTTTTTTTGATGGGTTTAGGATTTCTATTGAGGAAGATCTATCGATTTGAGAAATCGAACGTTTTTGTAGCGAAGAATGGTTTAAAGAAACAGATGAAGAGTTTGATAAACGGTTGGGTTTTTGTGAAGTTGATGGGATTGAGGTTTGGGATTCGGTGGGTTGGTTAGCTCGATTGGTTGGAGGGGTGATCGGGTTGTGTAGTCGGGATGGGGTCATGCTGGGTTTCTTTCTGAGAGATCGGTTAGGGTCTTGGACGGAAGATGTGGTGAGGTCTTGGGCTAGAGAACTTGGTGAGATTTGGTTAGATGGGTTTCGGTGGTTTGAGTGTGAATGGCTTGATGAGGATCGAGTAACTGGGGTTGAGATGGCTGGAAGATGTGATAAAGTAGAAGTACTTGTACTTGCTTCATCAAAAAGCTTGGGTTTGGATGGGGATGAGATCGGACGGATTTGGTTCCTAAGACTTATTACTTCTGTCTTATACTTTTCATACTAAAATCATCAACTTCATCAGTTTCTTATTTCTCATCATCATTATAAGATCAATTTTTCTTACTTTACTTTCAAAGGTTGCACTTCTTTGTTTTAGACTACGACAAGTTGATCTAATGGTTTCTGATTCGTTGGAAAGTTTTGTAAGATCAGATTTAAGTTTTTTGTTTTCTTCTGAAAAACTTATCATATTATCTATGGTATCTTCTAATTCTCTAGTTTGTTTATTATATTTACTATATATTAAAGAAGTCCAAAAAAAAAAGAATCAATTCGAATGATTAGTTAGTTTGAGAATCATTTTTTCAAAAAAAAAGTCAATGTTTTTTTCATCATACCTTTGAATCTCATCACGTTCAGAACTTAATCTAATCAAACTAGATTTCTTTTGATTATAAGCATCTTGAAGTTCCATGAATTCATTTCTCAAAACCCTAAGAGCTTCTTTCCTTGAAGATTTCTCTAAAGCCAATTCTTTTGAAAGTTGATTTATTCCAAGTTTTTCTCGATTCTTAATTAAACTTAAATCGACTTTTAATGATTTGATTTGATTTAAAAGTTCATGGTTTTGAGTTTTGATCGATTGGTTTGATTGGTTTAATGAAGCGATTTCGGTTTCTTGTTTGACTAGTTTATGTTTAGATTGATGAATTTCTTGTAAAAGTTTTTGACGGTCATCTTGAGCCGATTGAGTTAAAGGTTGGTTTGATAGAATAGGTGAAGAACTTTTATTTTGATGATCATCATCATGTATGATTTTTTCAGATAAAGAATGAATTAAAACAAATCTAGAACCTAATGAAGCGTGATTTGAATTTGTAGTTGTAGTTGAGATTCTTTTTAAGATTGAATTACAACAAGGACATTTAGTGATTCGTTTTTGATGACGTTGAGTTTGATCCCATTTTCTTATACAACTTGAATGAAATGAATGACCACAGAGTGTGAAGAGATATGAATCATTTATGTTTTCATCTTGACAGATTGGACAAGTTGGTAAGACTATCAGTCTGGTTGTCATTGGTTGATTGGATGTCTTCTGATGTTGATTTTGATTCCTGATGATTCTGAATGGTTTTTTGAGATTTACATTCAGACTCAGTTGAAGAGTGAGTGAGTGATTGTTGTTCAAATTGCGGATGGTATATTTCAAATTTTAACTATGTATTACTTAACTTGAGTTTAAATTTTAAGCTCATCAACTTCAACTCAGCAGCATCCCTTTGATAAATCCAGCTGATGGTCCATTGTACCACACATCTCTTTATCACCCTAATCATTTCCTCACAATCTTCTCAACTTTGAAATTGACTTTCAGAATTCCAATCTAACTATCACTCAAACCTGTTACAAATCAATTTACAAAGAAAAGAAACCAATGGTTTCCCCTCAACTTTTTTTGAAGTTTGTTTTCCCATATCATTGAATCATAATCAAAAACCAATCCAACTCTAAAACCAATCTATAATTAAAGAACCCATCAAATCCGAAAAAAAACCTTCTACATTACACTTTCCCTCCCTCCCAAAACCAAAAAACACCAAAACCAAAACAAAACCAAAAAAGAAATTAAATTCCTTTTTTATAAGCAATCAAACCAACCAAAGAAATCAAATAACCAATCGATTGTAAAAGATTAATTTGATGATTCATGAAAATCGAACTAAAGAAAATCAAAATCAAATCTTTTAAAACTTTAGATAATGATAAGATTAATGAAGAAAGTTGAATTAAATAAACTGATGAAATGTTTAATAAAAAAGTTAATGAACTAAAAAAACACAACCAATCAACCAGGAAAAAAATGGTATCAGGTTCAAAAAGGTATTAGTTTCTTTTCTTTTGCAAGATGAATTGAGAAAGAAAAAATCATCACTCAAACGCATTAGATAAAATCACCCATACACCTAACTTAGGTATCGCTTTAATCGAATCAAATCCTTCCAAAGGTAAAATCAAAACCGAATTAATAATCAAACAAACCTACAAACCAAAAAAATTCTATTAGTTTTTTTGGAAATGTAAAAAAATTAGATAAAAAGGCTTTTTTAAAAAAAAGACTAAACTGGTGCAAAGAAATAAAGAGAAGTTAAAGGAGACATTCCAGTTCCTAGTAACATTTGAATGAGGACTACTCTATTAGCTTCCACAACAATAGCCACAACCTAACCCACCACACCCCAAAAAGAAAATCCAAAAAAATCATCAGAACAAAACCAAAAAAAGAGACACAAGAGAAAAAGAGTGGTTCTTTGATGATTTGTGTTTTTTGAACTTACTTGAATTAAAAATCCAATCAAACTAAAAGCCACTTCACCATAACTAGCAATCCCAATCCCCAAAGAAATAATCAAAACGATTCCAAACAAACGTAATGAAGGAGGATAAATTCCAAATGCAAAAGAAGTTAATAACACAGCTACAGGTGAAGCTGCTTTGATCATTTGAATAAACTAAATCTCCCCCACCAAAAAAAACACAAAAAAGGTAACAAAATGGGTGGTTTAGTTTTATTGGTTTTTTTGGGGGGGGTTTTGGGTTGAGTACTAACTCGTTACAAGGTTTGGTGTGGGTTAACTTACAGCCACTGTGTGTTCCGTTTTTTCCATTATTCCATACGATCAAACCCCCAAAAAAAGACCAAACGATTTCCATAGTGGACATCAAAAAAACACAAGAAACCAATCAAACCGAAATTTTCTGAAATCCTTGACTTTTTTCCAAAAAAGAAGAAAGAAAGATTAAAAAAAACTAACCTGAAAGATATAAATAAACCGCATTTGAAAGTACGAGTGAGATAGAAAACAGAATTCCAATCGGCACGACTTTTTTCCAATAAAGTTCAGGCTCAATAAAAGGTAAAGATCTATTACCCAACACATGATCTTCAGATTGGTTTTCATTAATTTGATTTGAGTTGGAGTTTGGTTTTGAAGAAGAAGTAGATGAATTGATCCAATTTGTTGTACGTGCTATGGTTTGGGTTGCGATTGTTTGGAAAGCTAGATGCAGAGCTGTTAGTGTGATAGGATATGGAAATGACCATTCTTTCTAACCAAACCCGAACCCAAAAAAAAGAGAATCAAGTTAGAAAATGGTTTGGATTTGATGAAAGGGATTTGATTTACTAGGATTAGAGCGTTGTAGAAAATAACGGATGATGAGATTGAGATCCAAATGATGATGATTAACCAAGGAGGTAATAGATTGGATTGGTTTGATTGAGAAATCGAGGTTGATGATGTTGATGGTAATGGTGAATGAGAATCTGATTCAGATTGAGTAGAAGTAGAAGAGCTTTGTAGTTCTAGTATGGTTGTTTCTGATTGAGTATGATGAGATTGGTTTAGATCGTTTCTTGAGATTGATAGAAGTGGTTGTTCTTGTTGTTGTTGTTGTTGTTGAGTTGACAATGACATGATCTGATTGAGAAATCAAAACTTTCAATCAAGAGTCAACTTGTCAATCCTGGTCTAGTACTCTGCTTTAAATTCTGAGCACCGACTGGAGAGAACTGTTCAAAATGAGACTGTAATGATATGTACAGTTATCAATCTCATCAAGTTTCCCATTACTGCATCTCACTCAACTTCATCCATTCTTGAATAAAATCAAACTCATCAACTTCATCATCAAACTGATTCTTTTTTCTTTTGAACCTCAAATACTCACAAAAAAAAAACAAATCATACAAAATCAAACATCCAAAAAAAAAGTTTCTTCAAATTTACGAAAAACAAAAAAGTATCAAAACCATACAACTTATATAGAAAAACCCAAAAAAATCCTTTATTTTTTCATTTTCATATAAAACATTAAAAATTTGTAACAAAGAGACAAAGAATTTTTTGGAAAAAAAAAAAGAATTTCACAATCCCGACATTTGGTATGTAAAGTATAAACCATAAGAAGGGAATTATTGAATTGATTTATTTTGATCAATTTTCATGTTTTTTTTTTTGATTTTGGTTTTGGTTTTCTTTCAAAATTCACTTAAAGGTGTAACTAATTCAACAGCCATTTCCACAATCGAACTAACTCTCATCTTAACCGTTTCAGATTCACTTTCAACTCTCTAACAACCAAAAAAAGAACCAAAAACACCAATCAGTTCTCAAACCTCAAACCCCCATGACTTTTTATCAGTTCATCAACTTCAAAAAGAGAGAGAAAGAGGAAAAAAAGAACCCACCAAATCATCTAAAAACACTTCAGACCAAACTTCATCTATCCAAACCTTTAATCTAGCCGGTTCATTCAACAATTCAACATGTCCAAAATGTCCATCTAAGAAACCAATTAACTTATCAACTCTTTCGATCCAACCGTCTTTAGGTTTTTGATGAGTTGACGAATGATGATGATCACAATGATTTCCACTGGTCACTATACAAAAACACCAAACCAAAACACACATCAATGGAACTTTCTGGTTTCCAAAAGAAAGAGAGATGGAAACTAACGTTTTAGAGAAGCTGGACTTCTGTCTATTCCTAGTAAGAGAGCTAGGACTGAGTCTGCTATCATATCGTTCGTAACTGAGCCAACCCATTCCAATAAAACTTGATGATCTTCGACTTTTTTCACATCAACAGTTTCCATCACCTAGACTCCCCCGGCAAAACCCAAAAACCAAAACCAAAATTCACCAATCCAATCCAATACATCAATCAAACAATCCATCAAAAACGAAAAGAAAAGAAAAATGAGATATGTAACTGACTCTAAACGTCAACTTATCATTCAAATCAATCCCTTCTTCAATCCTACCATACATACAATTCAAATGCCATCTAACGATTTCCCAACCTACATTAATATTAATCGAAACTTTTTGAAAAATAGATGAAGTTGAAAGTCCAGTATAATCTTTTAAATCAGTTGAAGATAATAAAGTATAAGCTGAATCTTTGGAAACCAAGATGCCTGAGATCGTTTGTCCAACACTTAAATTCGTGTCTGCTAAACTACCTATTGCCTAAACCCAAAACAAAACAGACATTCACTTTTTGGATCACTTTTTTCGTTTTTTTCGTTTTTTGGATTGGTTTGGTTTCAAGAATGGAATGAAATCTTACTCTTGCTATTCTAGATGCTTTGAATTTGATTCTCAAAGTTTCTACATTCCTAGGTGTATAAATCTGCATTTCGTTTTTAGCTAAAAGGTATTTATCTTTCAAAGCGTTTCTAAGTCTAGTCATATTATTAAATTCTCCATGAACCAAAACCTATCCCAAAAAGCAAACAAAAAAACATTACATTAATGAAGATGAAGATGAAGATGAAAAAACAAAGAGTGATGATCGAATCTTGACTTACTAAATGAGTTGGCATCACTTGATCAATAAATGCTGCGTTTTGTGTATAATCTACATGTGCAGAAAATGAAATATAAATCACTTCGATTCTTCTAGGAATCTTGTTTCCTTTGATCCCTGTGATCTCTTGTGGTTCTTTTAACATTTCCTATGGAAACCAAAACATCAAAATATCAGATTAATGATCATCAGAGAAGATGATGATCCAAGAGTGGAAGAGATCTTACTCTGGCCATTGTACCTTCAATGGAATAACCAGTGACTAATAGACCATTTCTTCGATCAGGTGCCCATCTTTCTAATAGTTCACGACTAGCTCCATTGGTCATAAACCCAGGACTAGCCATCACAACCTATCCAACAAAAAGTAATGATCAGATCATGTTTCATTTACAATAAACTTATACTCCATGGAAACCGCATTTGAAATGATGACTCACACAAGGTCCACGATCATCAAACTTATCTAAAGTTTTCAAATTCGTAACATATCCTTTCTTAAACAAACCTTTACCTTCTCTAAAAAACGTCCAAGGATTGATCCCTTTATTAAATTTAGATTTGATCTCTTCATTCATCCCATGAATAAACGTTTGATAAACTTTCATACATTTAGCTGCTAGATTCGAAATATAATAAATCGGAATCGAATTTAATTCAGGATGGTTTGACCAATATTCATCTAAGATTAATAATAATTCTTGAGCTCTTCCTAAGGCAAAGACTGGCATTAGGACTCTACCACCTCTTTTTAAGATCATTTGGACTAATGCTATTAAAAATTAAGTTTGAATCCAAATAACAGAAAGATATACAAAACTTGATTAGTTCAATATATATATCTCTTTTGAATTCGAATCAAAGAAAAAGTAAAGCGAAAAAATCAGAAATAACAAACCAGTAAACCTTTCTTCTTTTTCAGGTCTAGGTTCAAGAGATTGAACACCATAAGTCGATTCACAAATCATCACATCAGGTTTTTCATTCCAATTCGGGACTTTAGCAGGTATCAAATGTCGATCTTCTTCCGTAGAATAATCACCCGTATAAAGCACTCTGATGCCTGCTATCTCGATCAAAAACATAGCTGCACCTAAGACATGACCGGCTGGATATGATGTGAATCGAAGCGATCCTAGGGAAATCTCTTGATGATAATCTATGGCATTGATGGACTGAGTTATGGGTAAGAGAATAGGTTTGGGATTCGTTAGTGATGGGTTGGGTATGAAGACTTGGAGATAGTTTGCCCACTTCGTAGGATAGTGTCATTTGTTCTTCATTGAATAATTCACCATCTGTTCCAATCGTACTGTTTCGAAACGTATCAAGAAATTTGAATCATCAGACAATTTAAGCTCATTGGTCATTTTAGACCAGAAGATTTTGAGACATACCTCATCCTTACAAAATCTTGCATTAAGAATCGGTAAACTGCTTTAGTCGGATGTGTCATAAAGACCTATATGAATGATTTGAAAGTATATAGATTATATGTATAGTGGATGATTGTTAGATTCTTTCTTCAATTCAAACGTATAGGAGATAATCATCAAGAAAGAAGAGTGACTAACCTTTCCATTACCTTCTTTGAAATTAGTCTGTCAATCGACAATTTTGAAATATGTTACCGAAATCAAATCAAGGGAAAGAAGAATACAATCGTAATAGTTTTTGTACCGATGATGATGATTGATTGATTCGTAAGTTGAAATTTTAAAGAATTAGGCAAGTTGGGAATTGAAATAGACGCGTCGAGGTTTTTGAGTAATGTTGAATCGTGAGGTTTTGGTTTGGTTTAAAGAATGAACCAAAAAAGCCGCGGGGGGGGGTTTTGGTTTTGGGTTTTGAATGTTTATCAAATCAGATTATGCATTGCATGATAAGAAGGATTTGAAAAAAGAAGAAACACATGTTAAAGTGTGGTTCAAGAGGGAGAATACGAGTTGGAGAAAATATCATGGAAAAAGTATTTCCCGCCCCCCCCACAAAAAACAATGAATCATGAATGAACGAATTCCCCCCCCAAAGAAACCCAAAGAAACCAAGCCCAAATCGTTTGGTTTTGACGCGTTTGATGAAAGATGAATAGAATGAATTGGTTTGATTAGTGTATTGGACTTTTTGTAAAATCGAAGGGAATAAGATGAATTCTCAAAACTGACGTTTTCCATGATATATGTTAATGAAGCAGCATGATCGAGATGAAAACTATATGAAATCGAAAAATTTAATCCACTGAGTCTCGAAGAAAGTCAAGAATCGAAAGCTTACTGTGTGATCAGAATTGCATCAACAGTACTCCAATCAATCTAAGAAAACAAATTAAAAAAAAAACAGTGTAAGTAAGGAAGAACCCATGAAATCAGTTCAAGAAAAGATTTCAAACATACTTCATCAATAAAAGGTAAAGCAGCCATTCCAGTATAAGCAGGATGAACACCCGTATCACAAACCACAGTGACCGATTTATATTCGATAACACAACAACTTCTTCCTACTTCTTGACCTGCACCTAACATGGTGATTTTCATTTCTTCATCTGGATTAGATGAAGAGTTTGGATTGAATTCGATCCCGTTTTCAGGTGAGATGTTAGCATGAAGTGAAGAAGGTGGAAAGACTGTTCTGCGTGGTCTTAATGAGGTTTCGTTTCGATTGTTGTTGAAGATGGTATTGTGATAAGACATCGTTTGGTTCGTTGATTTGAGTCGACAACTTGAGATGATAGGTTTTAGGCAGACAGTTGGTCGAATTGAAAGTTGAAACAGAACTTCAAAGTCAAAAATCAAAAATCAAAGCCCAGAGGAACAGGTGAAAGTATGCTCTAAACCCATATCTTACTTTCTACAAACCCATCATATCTAGATTCACATCCATCCAAATTTCAGAATCACCTCAACATTCTCTCCTGTAACAAATCGTTGGTCGATCAAGTTACTCTGTCGATAACTGTGGCTACCATCAATCGAATTACACAGAAGCTTATATCTTTGACTTCCGAAACCCTATATCTTTTATTCAAAACGATGATCTTGTAGTTTTATAAAAACAATCACAGAGTCAGAAGATCTCAACTTACCATCTCTTCCGCACTTGACCATTGAGCATTCCTATCCTTTGTTCTTCGTATCTTTGCACACTGTTGAAATTTCAAAAATGATGAATGAGAGAACTATGAAAAGAAAGGTTTGATGAATCTACTTACCTCTATGTACTCTTCCTTTATCCCAAGCAAAACCGTCTATACATTCAATAGTATCCGCTCGGATGAAAGTGAGTTGTGCGATAAATAGAGAAAGAAATATGACCACGATATTTATAGTAAATTGGCAGGATAACACGGGGAAATATGCGAATGAAAGTTGGATTGGAAGGATTCGTTGTTTGAGTCACTGACACAATCTGCTAAGATATATATGCGTGATTCCGGTATGAGTAGAGCCATAAATAAGGCGACGAGGGCTTACACATTGTCACCGAAGCATTAGTAATTGGGCAGAGTCTTATCCTTTACAACACCTGCACTTGTACTCGATCTGACAAGCACTTACTATGAGCTAAACATGAACAAAAGGTTCAACTTCAAGACATAAAGTTTTAGTGAAGTTTTCCATAGTTCCAGTAATTCCAAATGTTGAATCCTCTCTGATTTTTTATTTTGTATTTTCTTGGCTTCACCTTCTATGAAAATATCCTTTTATATTGCTTACTTCAAAGTGGCGTTCAAGCATCAAGAAGGTGTAATTTCTTATTGTACACAGAGTTTCCCAGCTGCGTCATGCTTGACTTTTCAAAATTCATGTCCGATGAGGTTTCTTTTCACAGTTTTATGAGAAAGAAAATATTTACAAGTTTACATGGTAGCCTAGAAGACAGAAAGATGACTCATTTGAACCAAAGAAGTTGGTGGAGATGAACCGAAAACTCGACAAGATTCGGTTTCTTTTGGGCATCAAAGACCTCGAAGATGAGGTTCCAATGGATCCCTAAGAGCTATCCGCGTTTCCCGACGGCACGTTTCCCTGTGGAGGCTGTATGCTGCAACCTGAGCATGCTATTGACAAGAATGATTGTACACGTGATGCATGATGGTCAATTGATTTGAACATGATAAAAATGAAAGATGACTTACTGATGAAGGGTACATTGGAGGTTGTATAAGGGCAAAAGTAAGATTTGTCGACCCCCGATGTCCAACATTCTACAAAATGAAAAAAGAAGGTTAAGAACAATACGTATAATTTGTCAATTAGAACTCCATAGCAAAAGAGAATATGATAACCTACGATATCTGCCTTCACGTCCATAATTGTAGCCCGTACATTCTTGGGAGCTCGTGCCTGGAACGCCGTCCATGAAACAGCCTTTCATTGGTACCCAGAGATGATCTAGAGATATCATGTTGATACAGAGCAAGCTCAAAGCAGCGTTAGAGGAAATCAACGTCAAAAAGATAAATATTCATTCAAGGAGATTGATATTTACGATCTCTTCCGCACTGGTTTGTTGGGCAGGTCCATACCACAGCCTTCGAGTCTCTGCAGTCTGTAAAAAAGGAATCAGATCTTTTTAAGACATGAAAAGTTTGAAAAAATTGTACTTGCCTGAGTTATCTTTATCCCTGGTGAATCCCTTGATACATTTAATTTCATCCGCTTGGATGAGAGCAAATTGTGTGATGCAGATAGCAATGAAGATGAAAACAAGCCTTTGAGGAGGTTGGTAAGCTAACATGACGAAGTGTTCAAGAGAAGTTGTGGTTTTTTTAGATGAGAAGAAGATTCGTGATACGCTGGAACTTTGACTCGTACTGTGAGGAGACCTCTGAGCAGCGCCGTAGACCAGCGCTTATGTACTCGTTTACAACGAAGCATCAGGAAGTGAAAGTGGGGGGAATCTCATCATTGGCAACCTGACATGAACTGTACATTACACGAATGTTTTGAAGAGCAGTTTACCCGAAAAATCAGCATGTACATCCTGCTCTTCTTTTTCATCGGAATAATTATTATCCTTACTCTCTCTTTTCTATATTGCCGTTGCAGAAAACAATGATTGTCGTGTTTCCTTTCATTTCTTTTCCGATTTGAGACAATCCTTTCAAAGAACTCCGCTCTGAGTTTTCTCCAAGTAAAGATTCTCTGATTTGAGATCTTTAGAGCAACCGCCAGTTTTGACTTCAACCTTATTCATTACATTTTTATTCCGATCCCTTTTTTTGATTGATTTTTTACGTTTCTTTGAACTTTTCTCGGATCACTGGATCACTGGATCACTTTTTTAACTTTTGTTTCCTTGGATTATTAAATCGCTTTTTCGCATTATTTTTGAAAGCCTTTCAACATCGCTGATTTCTCTGGTTTATGTTCAGATTTCCTGTTTCTCGTATTTCTATTTCTCACAGACTTCTCACACATTCAAGTATCAAACACACTCGGATCTACTGATTAGACTGAATTGCAAGAGCTGTGTGACTGATGATGATCCAGGTTTCTTTGAGGGATTGAAATTGTCCTTTTCCAATACTTTTACAGTGTCCTATTATCACTTGTAAGGCACTGATTGTGTTGTTGAACACATCTTCATGAGCTCCAAGATTATGGCCCCTAACTCGCTTGTCAGTTGGGATAATAATGCTCAATATGGTGTACGCCGAGTCTGCCAATAGATACTCCCCCGGTGAAAAGTACCTTGAATGATTCTGATAGAGCTACTAAGAATAAAAGAATTAAGAATTGATTAGTCTAGTCAAATCAAATGAAAACCTGAAATAAGATACTAAGAGCATCCCCAGCCGCACGCCATAAACCGTGACGTACGGAGGGTCGCACGGATTGGCTATGGTACTGTTTGGGGTATCAAAAAAACCCTGTGCACAGCCCTAATGCCGTACAGTACGGTTAGTAGCATTATTTAGCATCATTTTCTCGTATGCTATGAGTGAGTGCAAAGCACTGCAGTTTTGGAAACAAACTATTGTTCCAGACACTGTCGAACTCATCCTTTTCTTATCTTGTCATCAATCTTTCTTTCTCAAATGCCTGTTCAATCTGATCAAGACGAATTCATGGATATCCTCCTGGAAGACGACGAGGATGAGGACGCAGCCATCCAGAATTTAATGATACAAAACCGGGCTATCCTTCAACATAGACTTCATGATAGATATAGACAACCTTGCTGTCGTCTTCAAGGTTCACGTTTGAGAATTATTCGAGATCGAGCTGAAGGTCACGCAAAGCTTCATAAGCACTACTTTGCTGACTCTCCCCAATACCCACTTCATCGCTTTCGACGTCGTTTTCGCATGAGCCGCCCTCTCTTCTTTCGCATATGTGATACTTTAGAAACTTCGAATCGCTACGTTGAGCAGAAGCAGGATGCTGTGGGCAATTTGGGATTTTCTTCACGACACAAGTGCACGGCCGCGATACGTCAGCTCGCTTATGGAACAACGCCTGATCTGTTCGACGACTACCTGCAGATGGGTGAATCTACAGCAATCGAATGCCTCAAACATTTCTGTCACACTATTGTAGAAGTATTTGGCCCTGAATATCTCCGAAAACCCACCAAAAACGACCTCAAGCAACTTCTGGCTGTAGCAGAGGAACAAGGTATGCCGGGTATGTTAGGTAGTTTGGATTGTATGCATTGGGAATGGAAAAACTGCCCAACAGCATGGCACGGTCAATATTGTGGAAAGGAGAAGGCTCCAACCTTGGTGCTCGAGGCGGTGGCATCGCATGACTTATGGATTTGGCATGCCTACTTTGGATTACCGGGTACTCTCGAAGATCTCAGCGTACTTGCTTGATCACCTCTCTTTCTAGATCACCTCAATGGAAAACAACCCGCGGTCAAATTCACTGTTAATGATACCGAGTACAGCACTGGGTGTTACTTGTCCGATGGAATCTACCCGGAATATACCACTCTCATCCAGACTATATCATCTCCTGACACTCCCATGAAGCGGGTAAGTCTTTGGTTGTTTTTTTCATCCTCTAGTCATCAAGTATTAATCATTTTTTACTCTTTCCACTTGTCATGAACAGCATTTTGCAAAAGTCCAAGAAGCTCTACGTAAAGACATCAAACGAGCATTCGGAGTGTTACAGGGCAAATGGCATATTTTGCGTAATGGTGGGCGGCTGTGGTCGGACTCTGATCTCGAGGCGATTGTGTTGTGTTGTATTATATTACATAACATGAATATTGAAGATAATAGAAACACTCAAGAACCCGACCCTTACCTAACTCAAGAACATCTCTTTGTAGTCCGTCCGCCTGAAAGCAGTACAGCTTGGACAAACAATCGCGCTGGGTATTTAGCAAAGTTTAAGAACATGCGCGATAAGAAAGCTCATCATCAGCTCAAAGCCGACTTGGTGCAACACCTCTGGAATGCGAAAGGAGCAGCAGAAAAGAATGCTCCCCAATGTGGAGCAGATTAACTAGTCTCTTTTTAAACTTACTCATTGATTGTCTAGGCTACTTGTTTGGAAACATGTGAACTCGTGATTACCTACTTGTTTCTTTTTTTTTTGATTGTAATCTATGTATTTTAAAGAATGGTTTTGTTTTGGTTTTCTATTAATACCAAGTAAGCGAAATCGATAGGTTAATCATATTTTAGAGTCCCTTCAATTCTTTTTGAAAAGAATCAGCACTGGCCATTGAGAAAGATGTCATCGTTTTGGGATTCTCCAAATCGATTGATTTTTTTAATACTATCATGTTGAAAAATAAAATTGAAAAGCATTGAAATGGTATGATTTCATGACTTTTGCATAGCACACGGATTGACAACATCTTAGATTTCAAAATAAAAAGGAAAATCAATTCAAGAAATGTGGATAACACAAGCACTTTTACAACATTGGATAATTGGATGTAATATTGATCATCTACCAAGCATGATGTAATTTGATCAAAACGTTTTGTAAGATTTAAACATAGTGAACTGAGGTTGGAAAGAGTTCTTTACTCTCACTCTTTGTCCCAATGGCCATCAGTTTGGCTAATTGAAAGCATAAACCATCAGCATGGTACTGTACAATAAAAGCAATGGAAAACCTCACTTTGTTTGGGACTCGCTTTTGGTTTGTAAATCAAGATCCGTTTGTAAATCACCATCGGTCTGACTGGTTCTTGATCAGAAGAATCAAATGAACATGTTTAGCAGCAGAGAGAGAAGATCATGAGAGGAATTACTTACTCGGATTTTGTTTGATGATTGGTTTTGACCTTTTTATATCTTCCCATAATCTCTTCTTGTTTCATTCGATACCATTCGCGACGATGTCCACTCATCTTCTCTGGATCTTCCATCATGATCCGAGATTCAGATAAATCACGAATCGCGATACCTTTCTCCGCCACTGCATTTGCAAGCTTTTCCGAAGCTTGGAGAACTGCTCTATCTAATTCTTCCTGAGTTTTTGATGACGCTGCTTCTTTTTTAGCAGTTTTGGTGCCTGAAGGTCGTTTGGGAACTTGTGAGGTGTTCGAAGGTGTTGCAGACATGGTGTTCGAATTTTTGGATGATGTTGGACTAGATGGGAACGGTGCAAGTGTATTTTCGGATGTGTCTTGAAACTTCTTTGTGTCTCGGAGAATCACCCAGCAGTGTTCAAGGGTAAAATTCTCTCCGGTTTTGGCCAAGAACGTTTCCTTTGCATCCATTATCTACATATGGACGCAAAAGGAGTTCAATTGAAATCAGATAAAGTTTGTATCTGTTCACATGGGATCTTCAAATGAGGAGAAACTTACTGCATCACCGGCACCTACAAGTTTTCCACTGCGTAAATTGCGTACTGCAACTGAATGGTGATTCACAAACTTGGTGACTTGTGTGGAAATGTGGCTCCATCGCTTTTGAAGTGTAGTACTGTCACGAGAGGACCCTGGAAAGCCCCGATATACCCTCCTAATGGAAATCCCGAAATTTTCCCCTCCTACCTACACAAATTTCGCCGGTTTTCACAAAAAAAACTCGGATTCCTACCTGTTGACAAAGGACCATTTTTTTTTTCGGAGAAAGGTCCCAATATTCCTTCCATCTGCATAAGGACCCTCAAAATCTGTGTTTTTGGGCGTTTCAGAGCAATTAGACATCTTGATTTTTTTTCCGGAAAAACTTGTATATTTTTTTGGGAATTTGGTAGAAGAATCACAAGAGTTGAAGTTGTTGAGAGAGAAATAGACTAGTGAGTAGTATAGCTATGTAGTGTTATGTAGTTGAGTTTTAAAAAAAACGAGTAATTCAATTCCTGGCCAGCCACTGGAGGGACTGTGTTTCCAGTTCCTGGCCAGCCACTGCAGTCGGTCCACTGCTGTAACAGGTAAAAACATCAAAGTGAATCTCTACACATGAGGGAGATCAGGGTCTGAGAATTCAATATCAAGAAGTAGAAAAAGAGCAGTCAAACGTTTCAGAAAAGGGACTAAAGAGACTGGTATTTTTTTGAATTTGGGAGAGATGAAGCGAAACAACTTGAAGAAATAACACAAAATCAAATCTCTAGATAAGGTGGAGAGAAATAAAAACCAAGTTAGATATTACAATTCAAGTATAGCTTATTTTTTTCTAGCTTTAGCGTGTTCAACAGCAAGTTGTTCGAGAATTGCCTTGATGTACTGTTTCTGGCTCATAGCCTTTAACATAGCACGATAAGCTTGAGGAATCCATATGGTGTTAGCCTTGGGTTCAGTAATATTCATTGATGAGGTGGGGGGAAACACATAGTGAATATCTGCTATATCAAGATGCGAGAATATGAGGCGATTTGGAAAGTTTTCTTCAAAACTACACGCTCCAGGATTCCCTTTATACATGTAAAGCTGGGTAGATGCATATGAGAGCTTAGATCGAGTGGACGATTTGGTGATCCACTCGTGCTTACCATTCTGGTAAATGTAGAGAGCACAGATCTTACCCAAAAAAAGCATCTAAAACGAATCAAGAGTACATTAAATGATCAGAGTCGGCAGCTTCATATTTGAAACAGGGGATGACATACATTGTTTTTTATAACCACAACAAACTTGTTTACTTCAAGTGGATTGTCTTCTGATACATTGCCACTTGTATAAAGTGTTTGTGTTGCGATGTCGAGAGTTGTTGATGTATTTTTTGCAATCCAATTGAGGTCAAGCTTTACATGAATGTTCCATCGATGTAAGCGATCCAGAGCCTTGTCCATCTGCTCAGAGTTTTTCAGCATGATGGCTACCAATTTACTACATGTCCGAGGGTCCAATTTGGTGGCTCCATTTGCATTGGCGTGATCAGAAGCCACAGGATCCTGGTGGTTGTTTTTTTTCTTTCGTTCATTACCTTTTCCTTTTGCTACGCGAGATATAGTAATTGTGTCTAATATCAACGAAAACTATCAAGATCAAACAAAAAAAATGTTGTGATCGAGCAGAATCAAGCTGTTTCAGCAACTTTCAGGCCATTTCAAATGTTTGGACTCGGTTGAAACTGGTTGAAACAACCTTCTTGCTGACCCATGCCAGACTGTCAGACATCTCGATTTCAATGACCATCAACTGTCATAATATGACATTTTTCCACACCCTTTTACATAAAAATGTGCAAAAAATTGTCTTACCTGAGCTTCGAACTCAATACTATCATGATTGGTATCTATACACAATAACATCGGGGTTCATTGTGACTCGATGATCATTGCTACTCACCTTATGTATTGAAGTGGGTAGCCTGGTGGCCCTGAGAACCCTCTTTCCTACCTAATGTGTAAGAAACCTATTTTTTTTTTCCACACTTTTTGACATATTCCTACATACAAAATAAGGCTCCTGTGTGACTTTTTTTTTCAAATTTTTAGAATTCCTACACAGAACATAAGGACCATTTTTACCCAAAAAGGCCAATTCCTACATACCCAATTAGGCGGGTATATAGGGGCTTTCCAGGGTCCTGTCACGAGGCAAATCGGAGGGTTGAGGAACCTTATTATTCTTGTAATGCTCCTCGATGCGTTGCCACAGTCAAAGTATCTTCTGGCTCTTTCCAATGATGCGATCAGTGGATATGCTTATGTACAAATGGCAAAGCTGCTCATCCTCCGAATGAGTGAAATTCTTGCCTCTTTTTTTTGTACTCTTCTCTTCAGGTTGACTTTTGCGCTTTTTGGAATGGACTAATTCAATGTCTGTCTGGTGAGTTGTGTTGAGTTCCAAGGGAGATTGATTGGCGGTGTTTGGAACCGAAGATGTGAGAGAGGGATCCAGAATTGGATCCATGACGAGATGATGAGAATGGTGGTTGAAAAGAAATGTGTGTGATCAAAAAAGACGTGTTTGAAGCAAGAAGACGCGCTGAAGGATGAAACTGTAGTTGGGGGAACTTGTGCACTGTGGTTTTGAAATCATGGTAAAAGGAAGGTACGGACTGGTTTGTGGTGCGAGCCAAGATAGAACATCTTTGGCCTATTTGGGCTCGCACGGAGAGAACTACCTAAGCTAAGTGAGTGTTTGAGGTAGACGGCTGTGCACGAAACTACCTCAAATATCCGTACATCACGGTTTATGGCGTGCAGCTGGGGATGCTCTAACTTGTGAATATCAGAAAACTCCCTTGTCATGCACACTTCCGCACCATACCAATTTGTAGTACAGTCAATTTCACAAAGCTTGGAAAGAATTCCACGCCAATTACGGGATACAAACTAGAAACCCGGATTTGTTCCGGGTTTCCCAATTCGGACTTTTTGGCTGTGTTTGCGCAAACTGGGAAACTGGGAGAACGTGGGAAAGTTCCAAACACAGCCAAAAACAAAAACTGGGAAACTGGGAAAAAAACCCAGTTTTAACTTTGTATCCCGTAAATTTGCCCAAGTTTGGCGGGCAAAAGTTTCCAAGCTTTCTGCAATCGACTGTAAATAACTCTTCAACCAATGCCACATACAAGCATCACATCATACACACTTCAATACCAACATTCCAAGGAGACACATCGGTAGGAGCAGCTGAGGGAGCTTAATCTTTCTATATCTTCTCAAGTTCATCTGAAGCATTTTTAGATTTTTCTTTCTTTGGATTGTTAACGTTTAGGACTGGACATAGGCTAGGTACCTGACCCCTTTAGGCACCTCAAGTGGCTTCTGTTTTGAGTTCCTAGGACCGTAAGCTACCTTACCGCCTTAGGTACTCAGCCCAAGGCCCAAGGGCCATGGTGATATTTACAATTGTGTTGTTAAAAAGATTCTCACCATTTGGGATCAGTCCCACATCTTGTGGTGAGAAGCTAGCACAGAGTAGTCTTTAGTTACTGTATGCGGGAGAAACCAAATCAAAGTTCGAACAAAGACCAACAACAACAACAACAACAACAACAACAACGAAGACACGATCAAAGCAAAGATGATCTTATTCGACGACTCACCGCCTTCGCCTTCTTCAAACCATTTAAACGAATTACGTAAATTAATGAGAAATGAAAACTTACAATTCTAGTTAAGTGTCAATTCTGTTGAATCCTTTCTTTTCCGAAATCGAAAACAAATGTAAAGAATGATAAACTGATTTTCGACTTTTTGTTGGGTTTGATAGTGTTGTACCTTCAACTGATTCACATCGATCTGAATATCTTGCACCGTGTGATGAAAGAAGAGCATTTATTTCAAATTTTACTGGTTCGGCTGGAACTGCTATTATTGGTTTAGATGTGAATTCATTTTTCTTCTTCTTTTTGATTTCAAGATTTGAAAATTGAGTTTGAATTTTGAATAATATGCTTTAAAAAATAGGATGCTTGGTTGTTTACCGATTCTAGGTATTGGCAACAAGCTGAAGATGATTTAGATTTGAATTGTTGGAATTTGATGAAAGTTGGAACTTCGGGGGTTTTTGATTGGATTCGTTGGTTGGGATCTGACGTAAACTCCAATTACATTTCTTGATCGGGGTTTTGTTTCATTTATGAATTTTGATTTTTGGTTTTATTTGGGTTGAGAGGGGTTTTTTGTAGGATGTACCCAGGATGAGTAGGATTGGAATTGATTCAATGCTTGTTTCTCATAGTTGAGTTCCTTTATCCTAATCTACTACAAAACTTTTGTTGTGACGATTAAACTGATTTATCTCTTTTTTGAAATTTTAGCTGAAGTACAAACTTTGGAAGAAAGTTTACATGATCGGGAGTCAAGCTTAGTGTGCTCGAGTGAAAATTTGATTGATCAAGTATGGGGATCAAAAAGACCAATCTTATCACAAAACCCAATTTATCTACATCCACTTGAATACTGTGGTAAGTAAAATCAAACTTCATCGTTGTTAAAAATTTTGTATTCAATCAACTGATTCAATTTTTCTTTACAGGTCAAACTTCACAAGACAAATTAGAAAAACTGAAATCCTATATAAGAGAATATAAAGCAGGAGGTTATTTAATCAATTCATTATCAGAATTATGTTGGATTTTGAATATCAGAGGTTCAGATGTACCTTATAATCCTTTCCCCTTTGCTTACTTATTTGTTTCAACTTCAATTTCTAAACCTACAATACTTTTTTTACATAATCCAAAACATCAACATCAAGAAGTTCAGCAATACTTGAAAGAATTAGAAGTTCAATTAGAAGATTATGATAAGATTTGTGAATTTATGGGATCACTTGAAATTCAAAATCATATAATTATTGATTCAACTTTACCAATTGGATTATACGATACAATTGATATCAAACAAATTTCTGAAACTCCTTCAATTATTACTCAATGGAAATCGATCAAAAATCTAACTGAATTAAATGGATTTCGAAACGCTTATTTAAGAGATGCATTGGCTTGGTGTCGTTGGTCCGCTTGGTTAGAACATCGAATTTTGTCTGGAGATGAAATTAATGAATGGGACGCTGCAATTAAATTTGATGAGATCAGATCGAGACATCCAATGTTCATTAGTGTAAGTTTGTCCGATTATCACATCAGAAGTCAAAAGGACTGATCATCGATTCTCTTTTATCTTCTTTTTTACATTTTGTTAAGTAGTTATCGTATGCTAATATCAGTGCTACAAATGAAAATGCTGCTTTGCCTCATTATGAACCTACTATTAAACAAAATAGGATTATTGATTTACATACATTTTACCTAAATGATTCGGGAGCTCATTATTTAGGTCAGTTTTTGATTTTTGATTATAAAGCTTGACGAAAAACTTGAGGTTGTTCATTGGTTTGGTTGTTTGTTTATAGATGGAACTACTGATACGACTAGAACTGTATTCTTTGGAAAAAGTCCAACGCCGGAGCAGAAATTAGCTTATACTATTGTTTTACAAGGTCATTTGGCTGTTGCTAGAGCTATCTTTCCAGGTGAGTAGGTTATTTATTTAAAATTTCTTTTTTCTCCTAAGATTTGATGACTTAGGATGGGTTTTGTATCATAATGTAGGTGGAGGAGATGCGGCAGCTTTGACATTGACTCAAACTACTGGTAGTCAATTAGATGTATTGGCAAGAGAACCCGGATGGTTTGTGTTTCTTTCTTCATTTCTTCTTGATCAGGTATTTGTAACTTTCGGAAGATTGATGTTGTGTGATTTTGATTTTCATTTGGGGTTGGTTTAGGAGACATGGAAAACTCTACGGTCATGGTGAGGGATTTTTTTGAGGGATGTTTGTTTGTTGGAATACTGATTTTTTGTTTTGTGATTTTTATTAGGTACTGGACATGGGGTTGGTAGTTGTAGTTCAGTACACGAAGGACCTCATGGTAAGATCAACAGATGAACTCACCTTACTTCAAAAATTGATGGATTTTTTTATTATAATGTATGTTTACAGGAATTGGAACTTCAAATAGATCAGTAGATGTACCATTAAAGATTGGGGGCTACTAAAAAGCGCCCGCAAATAAAACCTGAGACCACCCGCTTTTAGAATCCGGTAGTTACTAAAGATGTTTGACTGAACTGTGGTTCAGTCTTGAGGAACTAATTTGTCGAGTGTCCCAAATGTGATTGAAATCAAATCAAATGGAAACCGGGCGGTCTTGAAAATGATCGACAACAGTCAGAAACCCACTGTGCAAAACCCCTCCAAAACCTCCCGCTCTCGCTACCCACATCTCATCCCTCATATTGATTGTTTATCTTGACTGGATTGTTCAGATCGGCTTGAAAGACAATCACATCACTGAACAGGACCTGAGCCTCTTAGCAATCCCCTCAGGCTTGACTATTCTCTGTTTTGTACCAGCAACAAGGCTAGAAGGCAGAAAAGATTCCAGTCTCTGAGCTCTTGTGAGCATTTGAAGGTTTTACTTGAGTTTGATGACTTAATTGCTTTGTCTGGCTCACCTATAGTCTCAAAGGTTGAGGCTACGTTCAAACACGACTTGGATTCATCCCGGTTTTGTGGATCCTAGGGGTTTATCGCGAATTTGTCTGACCTGTAAGTTGAATAGTGTCAAAACCCTTTCAAACCAATGCAAGAAGTATCTCATTGTATTCCTGCTTCAACAACTATGAGCAAGACGTGTATGCAATGAAAAGGAGAAGGGGTGGCGAGAAATCGGTGGGTTCCGAAGCGAGATAGGAAAAAGAAACGAGTGATAATCAATCAAAATAATCAACTATGTAGATTGACCGAGTGTCTTTGTGATTTTATACAGCTCTTGGATCAGATACAAGCAGATAAAGGTCTTCAACGAATAAATTACATTCCAACTTGGGTAGGAAGAAATGGACAGACTTGCAGAAGAGGGGCAGTTCTAGCTTCATCGAGTTTGAATCTAGGCAAGGAGGGTGTGAAAACCTTTTTCGCGTGTACTCATGACCACTTCTCTTAACACCAGCCCCACCAGCCGGAGCTTTATAGGTGTGGTACAGAACTTGGTTAGAAAAGAAGTAAGAAACACGCCAACTATCCTGCTTAGATGTGGGTAGCGAGAGCGGGAGGTTTTGGAGGGGTTTTGCATGGTGGGTTTTTGACTGTTGTCGATCATTTTCAAGACCGCCCGGTTTCCATTTGATTTGATTTCAATCACATTTGGGACACTCGACAAATTAGTTCCTCAAGACTGAACCACAGTTCAGTCAAACATCTTTAGTAACTACCGGATTCTAAAAGCGGGCGGTCTCAGGTTTTATTTGCGGGCGCTTTTTAGTAGCCCCCTAAAGATTGGTCATACTTTTACAATCGAACCTGGTCATTATGATTTTGAAAAAAAAATCGGAATTCGTATTGAAAGTTTTTTTGGTGTTAAAGAATGTGATGATTTGAATGATGTTAAAATGAAAGGTACTAAATGGTTAGAACTTGAAAGGTTTACACAAGTTGAGTAGTTTCACTTTTTTCGTTTCTGACAGTTTGGGAATAGTGCACACTTATGATGTGGGTTCTTTTGGGGGGTTGCTTAGGTACCTATTGCTAAGAATTGTATTGATTGGGATTTAATGAATCAAGTAGAAAAAGATTGGATTGACAGTGTAAGTTTTCTTTGACATTCAGAGAAAGGAACCAGTCAAATTGATTTTCAACATTCTCTTTGTGAATTGGGATAAAGCATAATGAAGAATGTAAGGATAAGTTGAAAGGATTGTTTGATTTAGAAAATCATGAAGATAGGATGGCATTTGATTGGTTGATGAAACAATAGAGCATTGGTATTAATCCTTGATTGGCTCTTTTAGTGGAGGTTTTGTTTTGTTTTCTTTTAATGATAGTATACGTTTTTAATGTCTGAATGCGTGGTAAGGGAATTAGATGAGTAAATATATATATATATGTGTGTGTGTTTGGTATGTTTGGTTTTCTGCAGCTTGAGTTTTGTCTTTTGTACAGTTCTTGATTGATATTGCTTTAGTATCTGGCTATCAAATTTCTGTGAATGTGATGCATCTTCGAGATTTCTTTGAACTGTACTTGTGCAACTAGCTAATGGTATCCAAAATCCTTTCCAGGATCACAACTTCAGAGTCAGAGAAAGATATTGGCTCCTGCTATTTAATGCCAGAAGATACCAATCTGGAACTTGCTGTTTCGATTGAAATTTTGTGAACAGTGATATGGGTTCCTGTAATGTCAAGATCCAACAAATGTAGTGTAAAGAAAAAAAAATCGAAAATCTGTTGTATTCGGGGACCTTGTTTGAATTCTACTCCTTCATCTATAACAAATGAAGGGCTTACATAGCTTCAAGAATGTTTGATCTGGGTGTGATGATTTGATCACCCAAGATAACCACTTTTGTTCAATTGTGTGTAGCATGAGAATGAGAAAATCTGTGCTGGTATGGATTTATCCTCTTTGGGTTATTTACTATCAAGATATTTCTCCTTGCTCTATGTAGTCTAGTATTTCTTGTCTGGCCAGCCCCATACCAGGTTTGTTGAGCTTACAACATTTCCACTTTGGCACCTTCTTATTGCTCATCACACTTTAGTTCAATTTTTGAACCTTTATCTCTCACTTTAGCTGAGGTTCCAGTGTCACTTGGCTTGTAAACGGGCTTGGCTTGTATCTACATGATCTCATTGATTTAAGTGTTAATTCAGTTTGTATCTGTTGATATACATACATGGGAAGCTGGGATTCTTACTTAAAAGATCTACATTTGAAAACATCTCCAATCTTTTTTGTTTTTTGAGACTACTTTGAATGTTTGAATAAATCCTTTGCCAAGGTTTGAAAATTAAGTTGAGTTTGATTTGGCCTCATACCTGAATGTTCCTGGTAGCATACATCATCTAGTGACTTGAGGCCAGCTTTAAACACAAATCCAATCTTGGGGGCAAAGCACTTGACCTGATTAACCCGTGGGTACCAATCTACTTAGCTGTCAGTGTCCCAGAACATGTTGGATGCCTTCTTGGCCATGGTGTTGTTGGAACACCTTAATTGGTGGTTTGAGCTAGGACGTAAAAGAAGAGATGATGCCAGCATTAAACAGAAAAATTCTAAAAAAAAGGAAAGAGAAAGAGACAAAATACTCATCTTTCTGTGTAAACCGTTGGATATTAAAAACCTCCTAACTGGCTGAGCTAGGCGCGGGTTAACATAGGTGGCTGAGACACCTATGAAAGCCTTTTGACCCCCCTTTGTTGTCCAAACATTATAAATTAGACAGAACTTACTCTTATTTGACTGTGGCAAAAAGGCAAAAGTCAGTAATTAAGAGGGGTGAAAAGTTGAGACAGAGATGGATCAGATGAGTACAAGTCTTACCTTAATTGTACCAATCACTGTAGAAAATGAATCCTGGTAGATTCCCTTGGAAGTGTCAGATGCCCAGGCGGTACCTTGCATAGTTGCCAATCTATTTGACAACTTGAACACTGCTTGAAGGGGGGATCAGTGGATCTGGCAAAAGGGAGCCCATGTTGGAGGATCCAGATGGGAGGTCAATGCTGAAAAAGGATTGAGATAAAAATGAGTCAAGAGTGATTTTTGGGTTGGCACTAGCCACTTGAGCAATGTCTTCCTGCTGTTGTTTCCAGGTTCAAGGGAGGCTGTGACCTTTTTGAATTTCAAGTCATCTTCTGGGGCATGCCGGTCAATCCTCAGCTCAATCTTGGTGTGAGTATAAGTTGTAGGGACTGTGCTTGCCTTGAGTGAAGTATCTGCAGCATTATTGACACCTAAATTGACACAGATTATCACCACTCTAGAACAAAGCTTAATGTCAGTCAGATACTCACTCTTATTATTACAGGAGAAAAGATGAAATAAATTCCAAAACCTACCTTGCCTTTCACATGTATTGGTGTCTTGAAGAACTCCAACACTTTGTACCAATGGCCAAGATGGGAACACCTGACCTCTGGGGACTCCACAACTTCCACATTGGAATCTTAATGAACATCCACCCCAACAGGAACATCATAGTCCTATGACTCAGTTTGGATACAATTGAGAGAGATGAGAAGTAATGTTTGATGTGATGACTCAGAGAAATGAGAAGGTGGCTAAAAAAATGGAATATTGACAGAAGGGATTGTTTGAGATGATTGAAAGATACATAAAAAATGTAAGAATGAGAGAAGTGAAGGTGTAATGTGATTGAGAGAACAGACAAGGGAAGTCTGAGATGAGCAAGAGAAAAGAGAAGGTAAAATAAAAAATTGAAAGAAAAATTCAAATCAAGGAAAATCAACACATGTGAGAATTAATGACAAAGACTGAAATGATCAAATGATGTACCTCAAGTACTGTAGGACTAGTTGTACCTTTTCTCTTCTTCTTCTTCTTCTTAAGAGGTGGAGAATGGTGCTGTGAGCAGTTTGAAACATTTCGAGATGCTGAATTTGTGTTACAATTCCAAGAGTTTTATTGGATAATTGTGAGACTCTTTTCTTTGGTTTTGGTTGAACACTAGCTGGTACTGAGGTGGGTGCAAGTTGCAACCCATCCTGCTTCTGAATGATAATCCTTGGTTTCAATTCCATTGGCATTGTCACTAGAATTGTCACCACCAACACCTGGTACTTGAAGAGCTTGTCAAGATTCTGGTGACAGCATCACTGTTATGACCAAGAAGGGAAGTGCGAAGAGAGAAGGAACTAGTTGTGTTGATGATAGGATTAAAACATGAGGAAAGACCAGTACAGGTAAGTCCAGCCTAAGAGCCGGTATCAGTGGGAGATACAGTACAAGCATGTGTAATATGGTAGTATGCTGATAGGCTCATAACAATCACCAGCCAGGTCAAGGGCAAGCTGGTTGACAATGTCAAACAGATTGGATGGAAGAGGGTGGAACAAGACTATTTGAGGAAACGATATTGAGGGTGGTTTGAGTGTAGTTTCTGGTTTCAGTGGTAGAAATTGGTACGAGTATTGATAGATGGGAATAGGTCAAAAAAAGACGGATCGGATAATGTGGTAAACGGGTCACAGCAGTCGTCATTCTCTTCTCAGACGATGTTCATCATCAATAACTATCAAAAGTTGACTCGAACCAATGATGTCAGAGGAAGAGAATGGACGTCTAGGAGTTGCGCTTCAGAAGCAAGTTCCCTAGTTTCCCAACAAAGAATTTCAAAGAAAATATCATATTCTTAGAAATCCATTCCATCACATTATCATTATCCTGATTTCCGTTTTTTCTCTACATCCACATAAAAGAAAAATATTTCAGCGATAACATTTTTTCATTTGCGTTTTCTTATTATGGTCATTAATAACCCCGTAACTTTGACAAACGCTACCACCGCTATTTTCGATGACATTGATAAAATCCTCACGAATTACGATGATTCAGGAGGTAGCAAAGTCACTACCATGGCGCAGTTTCGCACACAAGTCGCTTCTGTTTACTCCTATGAGGACCCCGACTTTCTGTTCCATTTCTCAGCAGTCGCACGCTGTGCGATCTCTTTGGATAGCAGAGCAAATAGGCCCGTCTACCCTGTTACGGACGTCTTGCCTGCGGTGGCTGACCCCCAAGTCATCCCCCCCATCGTGCTCAGTGATCGTTTCTCCCCTCCTCCTACAATCGACATCTACGGCCCAGTCAAAGGATTCATGGCCAGGCCAATTCCTTCATCTCCTTCTCGGTTCGAGGATTTATCTATGTTCCCAGCCAACCCTTCGACCAACTCTGGAGGGCCACCTCCCCCTCCTCCTCAACCGTCCTCTCCTAGACTTCGTCGTGGTCCGGTTTCCCATGCCAATTGCTCACCTCGAGCTTCTCCCAGAGGTCCTGACGCTGGTCCATCTCTTCTACGGCGGATTCAATTCTCAGGGAGTCCTCGAGCTCGAACTCCTTGTGCAACGACTCCAATTTTTCCGGTTTTCGAAAGACTGGATAAAGGAAAGAGGAAGAGAACTCCTGCCTCCCCGCCCTCCTCACACTCCTCTGCTCGACCACCTGTCGCAGCACCAGCTGTCTCTGGTCCCACCTTCTTGTCGGGAATCCCAACCATCCCTGGTCCCATGGTGCCAGCGCAAATCCTCACCGCTCCGTACATGGACGATAACGAACATCTTGTTCCCGAGGATTTCACTCCTATATCTTTTCACGTCAACCAGATTGCTCTCCTGTATAAGTCTGACATCAAACATCACGTCAGCGCTTTCAATTCTTGTAAGAACAGGCCTGCAAACTGGCAAAACTCCCTTACCAAAGAACTCCTGGAGTGTAATTTTGTCGATCTTCGGAAATTTTACGGAGCAGTTGCCTCCTCCGATCCCCCTCAGAGCCGCCTTTGTATTAACGCCGATGGTGACCTTAATAACGTCGAAGGAGCAGCTCCAAAAGAGATCACCGATAACACTCACTGGCAAAATCTTCTCGGCGTTCTCAAACACGCTTATATTGCCGCCTTTCCTCCTGCTGCCATTTCTATCAAGAAATACTTCGAGTACATTCTCCGCCTCCCAGGCCTCTTCCAAGCACGCGTTTACTGGGAGGACGTCAGAGACTTTGATGTCGAGCTTAGGAAAGAATTCGCTTCCCGGCCTAGTCTCGTTTGGGGAGATTACACTCACGATTCCCTCAAAGGAATCGACAATCGAGTTCTATACAGCAGCACCAGCAAACTTGGTCGTGCTTCTATTCCTACTCAAAAGTACCAATCTGTTCAATCATCTTCTCGTACTCCGAGGCTGGCTATTGAGGCTGCTCCTCCCTCCTATCAATCCTCTCGTCCTTCAGCAGCGAAGAAGCAAAAAGGAAAAAGAAACAAACCAGCGTACAAGATCCGGGACTCTAGATCTCTTCCTAAAGCTGATCAACCTTGTAACAATTGGAATCTGGGTGTCTGTCCACACAGCGACGATTCATGCGAGCGAGTTCACGGGGTATGCAACAAAGATGGATGTTTTGAACATCATCAAGGAAGCGACGCTCACAAATGAGCCTAACACCAGAACATTTCTTTGAGGTTTAGACATCGATGTTTTAGACAAAGGCTATTCAGCAGCAGTGAATTCCTCGATCCACGCCGAACCTCTTCCTTCTGCTCCCCCCCTCGACTCGGACCCTTTAGCCGCTTGCGCGATAAAACGTCGCCCAGACCTTTTTAAAATTAATTGTTCCATAAATATAGAAAATTTCAAAAGCCTTCTAAAAAACCATCCGAATAGGCCATTCGTAGACTCTATTATCCTTGGGTTGACAGAAGGTTTCTGGCCTATCTCTGAAAAACCCTCGGACAATACTGTGTTTAACACGAATCATGCCTCAGGTACGGAAGCAGAAGAAGTCCTCATCAAAACTAGAGATAAAGAATTGAAACTAAACCGCTTCTCTCCTCCCTTTTACACTCTTCTTCCAGGGATGAAAGTTTCACCGCTTTGTCTTGCCACAAACCCCTCATCCGGTAAAGTTAGGATGTGCACAAACATGTCGTTTGGCAACCCTTCTCCAAACGATCTTATACACAAAGACGACATAAAAATTGATCTTGACGGTATTCCTTATTTTATCCCGTTCTTGCTTTATCATTATTTCGGCAAACACAAGTTCATTTTATGGAAGACAGACGTTGATGCAGCTTTTCGAAATCTCCCTGTCTCTCGCCAATGGCAATTCCGGCAATTAGTCAAGATCGGAAACGCTTTCCACACTGACAGAAACGTCAACTTTGGCTGCTCTAGTTCCCCAAAGTTATGGTGCGCTTTCTTTTCCCTTGTCCTTTGGATTGCTTATTTCGAGTTCAACATAACCGATTTAAACGCCTACATGGACGATTCATGGGGGATCAGCCTAGCTTCCAACATGGTCTCGTTTAAAGGACGGAAAATTCCCTTAAATCAGGCAAAGTTTTTACACATCTTCGACTTTATCAACCTCCCTTGGGCCTGGGAAAAACAAATCTCGGGCAGCACCCTCGACATCATAGGCTATTCAGTCGATTGTGTAGAACTCTCCATCTCCCTACCAGAAGGTAAAAGACTCGCTTTGATTGCAGCTCTTAGAAACTTCATTTTGGAGCTGTCTCACCCCCTAGTCAAGTGGCAACAGATCACGGGTTGGGCCAATTGGGGGTTAAACATCTTTCCTTTAGGTAGATGGGCATTACAGTCTTCTTGGGACAAGATAGCTGGAAAAACATTAAGAAATGCCCATATTCCTCTCAACCGAACCAACGTTGACGACCTTTCATGGTTAGCAAACGCCCTGGAATCCTGGCCAGGTCGTCGCATTCTGAAACATCTACATTGGTCTTTAACGGATGCCGACTGTATGTTCTTTTGCGACGCTTGCCCAACCGGTTTCGGTTTCTGGCAACCATCCAACGGATGCGCCTGGAGCTGTCCTATTCCGCCACCGTCCAGGAACAGCTTCTGGGCTGAACTTCTAGCAGTTGCATCAGCGGTCAAGATGGCGGTTGAATTCAAGGCCTCGAAAGTGGTGATCTTCACTGACTCAGAATCGGTTTCGTACCTTTTTTCATCCCACCGTCCTAGCCCTGAAGCAAGATCCCTATTCAAGTACATAGTGAACATGATGCTCAATCACCCTATTGATGTAAAAGTTCGATTTGTTCCTCGTCAACACAATCAAATCGCAGACGCCCTTTTTAAAAGAAACTTCGACTTCGCCAGGAGCAAAGTTCCCCGTCTACATCTACGTACTTTCCAACCTGACCCAGAAACCCTCATAGGAGGATATCAAACTAGATCTTTGCCGGCTCTGCAATAACTTCTACCTCCTCAATTCACTGCTCCGCTGCTATGGCTCGAAAAAAGAAAGATAAAATCGTGCCCCTTAATTTCAAAGAACGAGAAGCCCTCTGCAAGATTGACGTCAAAAATAAACTCGAAAAATCAACAGTCGCCAAATACAATTCAGGATATCGTCGTTTTGTAAAATTTTGCGAAGAGCATTGTGTAAGACTCTTCCCAAGCAAAACAAACCTGTGCCACTTTGTTACAGTGGTCTCACGAGAAGTCAACCCAGACACAGTGGGGAAATATCTTACAGGCATATCATTCAGCATGCGCGAAGAATTTCCATCAGTTATACAGGCCCGTCTTTCTGTCAGAGTCAAAGACACCCTTTGGGGTTGCCTAAAGCTATTCTCAAAACCCGTAGTGCAATCAAATGCATTCACTTTCCACGATATCCAACTCTTCGCTTGACAATGCGCTCTTCAACACAATCCTCGCACTAGGTTTCTCAGCCCTCCATAGGTTGGGTGAACTTACAATCCCTGATTCAATCAATCTCCGCAACGATCAAAAATGCATCAGACGATCGTCCTTAGTAATCTCTCTTTGCGGCTCTGTAGCATGCTACAATCTCCCATATCACAAGGGAGATCCGAAATTCAAAGGAACTCCAGTAGCCATAGTTAGCCGTCCAAACGACCCTACTTGCCCAATCAGAACGATTCCCAACTACACAATCCGCCGCGACAAACGATTCCCAATTCACCCGTTTTGGTTAGTCAGAGAAAACGGACAACAACCTACCAGAACTTGGTTTATGAATCAGCTTCAGAACATCTTCAGTAAATCGAGATCAGGACATTCTCTCAGAGCAGGAGGAGCTACCGCTTACGCTCAAAACGGAATGGATATGGATACCATTCAATGCATAGGTCGATGGTCTTCCGAGGCTTTTCAAACCTACATCCGTACACATCCTCTCCTCAATCTGAACAAAACTCAGCGCGTTATTCAAGCTTCAGGTTTTACCACAGGAGAACACATCAGATTTCCAGGAGCTGTTCTCGTAAGCCTCCCAACCATCTGAGTCATCATGACAAAATTTCTCCATGAGTCCAATTCTCGCATTTCTCTCATGACGACTTACTAACGTCAGAATGATTCTTCGTTCTCCACAGCCGTGGGCCAGAAACGAATAATCAAACCTGCTAGACCAACCTCAGTCTCAGGTAGCGCCGAGTGAGTCTCTCCCACAAGAAGACCATAATCCTCATCGTCGTAGCGCTCATCCAAGCAAACCTTTCTTTTACAGGTTTGTGACATAGGTTCGAGATCAACGATCGCGTCTCCTACATGACTAGAGAGCAGTGGCACATCACACTCTCAAAGAACGTCAGTCATTCTAGTAGAATGAACAACTTGTTTGATTTAAGACCCAGGCTGACATAGGCCTGTAAACAAATTTTTTGACTTTCAAAAATTCGTAACTATATGACTTTGTCATTGGTTGCAGTATATACATAGAGTTCTACACCTTTCCTGATTTTCAAGAAGCCACAGCAAAATCTCCTTTCATCACTACTCAGATACTACCATCACCACTCTATATATTACGAGGGTGGTAGAACTCTGTCTTCATTCTTAATTCTTCTTGATCAGTCCGGGGGGTTTTTCTCTTACGTCATGCTTTGTTAGGTATGCTAATCAAGCACGCCTCTGTGGCCATTGTAGAACTTATAACCCAACAAGGGTTATACAGAGCTGGAAGAGGATAATCTACTAATATAATGACTAGTAGAAGTTGTCTAAGGACTGCTCTTCTAAAACAACACAATCAGAAAGAGCTCTGTTGTATTGAGTACTGATAAGGCACCAGAGAAAAAGTATCTTCACACGTATTTTAACTTCAAAAAAACACACTTTGTATTACTATCAACACTGCTATAGTGTTATTCCCAATTGATAACTAAAGAAAATAAGCAATATCTGTTTGATATTATTCCCAATAAGTCTTTATGACTATAATACTAAAGTAAATTTCTCTTTATAGCTGTAATAAAGGGCGTATTTAAGTGACCAGGTACTATTAAAATAAGTTTATGATGATAAACAAAATAATAATGGCGTAAATGATAAAGAAAAAAGGGGAACAACAGTTCCAAAACCCTCTCAAAGTATATATAACAATGTACTAGAACTTTTACAATGGTCAACAGCCTCAAAACCAATCAAATCCGCCCAAAATTCCCTAAAAACCCTATGATGACGCAATGTAATGATTTTGTTACTAATAAATGATGTAATTTTCACAGCTAAAAGTGATCAATGACGCAATAATATGATGTACAGCACTTCTTATGATGAATACAGGTGATTTTTTCCTTGTAAACTAGCTGAAAACCAATTTTTGAGATTACGAATGTTTTCAGATGTGCTCCAATTTTTGATTACTAAAGTGCATCTTGTAGCCCACGTGTTACTGATCATTTCTGACACCTACATGACCTACTTTTGATGAGTGATGAGTAAGATATTGAGTTGTGAAGTTAAGGTTTTTGGTGTTACATGTGACTTGTGACTGTAAATTCGAGATTCACACCAATTCTTTATTTGCCTTATAACTTTTTACACACACCTCCGTTACTAATGATTTAAAGTTTGTACATTATGTAATCAACTCTTCTGCGTTGAATGAGCCATTTATCAACCTATTCTGACGTCATTTGACATATGTAATTAGCTGAAAACCTCCATTTTCCACGAATTTCACCCATTTTCTTCACTTTTCACAGCTACTACTCTCTTTTTCTTGCTCATGTAATATGGCATCATCATCTATAACCTTAAAAATCCCGGAAAATCCTCTTGGCAACCTTAAATTCCATCACTACCACTATTACACATCCAAACTACACGTGTACCTCTTGTTTACCAACTTCGAAAAAGTACCTTTTTCCTAATAACTTTTGTTTCTACTTATCAACCTTGAAGATTAAAATTTTCATAGTATAATATAATGTTGTTCTTTCATATTCTAACGTCATAATACCCATAACTTTATTTTTACTAACCTAAAAACCATTTTCCAACCTATGTACCTATATTTTCGAGTTTTTCTTATGTTTTTCTTTATTTCTTTTTGTAATAAATTTGTAAGTAAACTTTAATGATCTTATGTATAATGTGAAATAAAAATGATGTAATGTTGACCTAGTGACCAATACATAAGCCTACAAGAGCTTCAATTGATCAAAAACCTCCATTTCGAATTTTCTTTCCTGCTGAAACCTGCTAATAAACTGGTAGACTGGTAATTGTGAATTTTTTAATTGATCCCATAAATTGATCACCACACCGTATAGCGTGAACCACAATACACAAGTATCCAGATCCAAAAAAGACCCATTCCTGGATGGAGACATGTTCAAATCTAAATCTGACAAGTGACACAAGTGATCTATTTGTAATGTGATAAAGGGATTTTGGTAAAATATGGGTACTTAGCTGGAATAAGGATTGCCAATAGTAAACAGCAAGACCAAATTGAATGAAAATGGAAAGTTGGGAAAAGGATGAATTGACTCACCTTAAGGCCCTTCTAAGGATGGAGTAAAGATTCTATGTTTTAGTTCTGAATCTAATCAATCCTGGTCTGACAGGTAGGCTATTGACACATTGTAAAAAGTTGAGTATCCGGTCAACGTGCTCTACTACAAGGGGGTCCCATATTCTAACGGTTGAATAGGGACGTTGAAAGAAGGTCATGTATACCTGTTGCTTCCAAATCTAACCGCCAAGCAGGAAATCACCGTTGCCAATTCTTGGACACTTACAAAGGAGTGCTGGCATTTCATGGAAGTCTAACAAAGAAACTGAATAAAGCTTTTTACATTTTTTTTCAAACTTCCCTGTGTGTGCACATTGATGTGCCATAGGAAAATGGACACTGTGTCAAGTTTGTTATTTCTGATACATAAATTTTATTTTGTGTTTTTATAAATTTGTATTCCACAACAGCTGTTGTGATTTGAGCCCTACAAGCATAAGCCACCACATGCTGACATTCAAGAGTAGATTGCATTGTGCCACCTTCTTGTGCAATAGTCCTGGCTTTATTCTTCTGCCTTGTTTGCTGCCTATGACATGGTCAATTTCTTCTCCTCTTCAAGTGAACACAGCGGATGATTGGTATAACTGGTCCTGTGGTTAGTTGCTCCAGTTGATTGACTGGAGCAACTACCACCTAAGGCTAGGTGATCTAAGCTGGAGCAGTCAAAAGAAGAGGGTGTTATAAACAGTTGCAAGGACATGGAATACAAAACATGTGAGCCATATCCTAAATGGGAATCAAACATTAGCACAAGGCAACATAGGCAAGAACACAATGGATATACATATATCAAAACAAAAACAGTTTTCAATGTGGAAAGGAATGATAAGGATCAAAAGATTGTTGATACAAAGTCTGTATCATAATTCATACTTGACACTTAGTGATTGTGAGCGCTCATGCTTGTGATGCTCAGCATTACTTCTCGGGAGCTCAACTGATTGTCCAACATACCATAACTTGTTTCTCTACTCATTCAATGTTTAGCTCTAACATATTGTATATAAACTATGTTAATTGTTGTCTCTTTCTGATCTATGTTTCTGTCTCTTGTGTGCAACAAACTATTTCATTTCATTACTTATTTGTTTGACAATGTGCCTGTTCACTCGTGTCGAGAATCTCATTTGTCGCCTTGTTGTAAGGTCTTTTGATGACCTTCACCAAGGTGGTGGATTCTCTCTGATAAGACTCTTTTGAGAGCGCTAAGTTAGGACTTCTGTTTATATTGCAAACTAGGCCTAGCTCCAGATGATCCCAGGAGTGGCTCTCAGAAGAGTCAACCAACCCTCAAAGAAGAAAACCCATAAAAAGATAAAGAAACTCACCTACAGCCTTTGTGAGAAATAATGGTTTTTTTTTGTTCTCCAGATTTTACTCGTTTTCTGACTTTTCATTTCTTGGCCCTTTTGAACTTAGTGGTGGGTGAGGAACTTGTGTTTCTCTTGCACATCCATCTTGCAAACACAACTTCTTATTGCTTATTGCTTGTTTGAGCAGGATTCCTAATCTCTCATCTCTTGTTTGAGACAAAAGACCTTGTCACCCGCTGGACTGCAATGATCTCGCCGGCCAGACAAGATGGCAGCGGGTACTGCGATTACACCATCATTTCCTGGATGCCTTTGAAGACAAGCTACTCAACCAAAAAGTCATTTCATACGCCTGCTCCTCGACCTCTTTCATCCCATTTTTTGGACACCCTTTTGGCTCGATGAATTGATTCTTCCTTTCAATATACCATTTCACTTGCTTCTTCTAATTGTATCAACTCAACCCACCCGTTTCTATCTGTTTAGCGTGGTTTATCAATCTATCACTTTCAACTTTGACTTGGAATCATCAAATCGAATCAAGGCTCTGAACAGTCAGTATTCCTATCATGATTTGGGTTGATCAAACGCTGACCTCTCTATGTTTCTTGCCAGCTATGCCTTACAAACCAATTCAGAATTGGATCCACAAGGGCAAGAATCCCGAGGAGGGTAAGTAACATGACTCTGAATGCCTCACTTCTTCATAGGACTGATATGGATCTCTTGAAGTGTTTGATCTGGCCTATTTGATTGCGGACGGGGACAAGGCCCCAGCCTGTCATCCAACGCTCAAGCGGCTCTGGCGCCAAGGAACGGAGAGCCGTAGCTTGATGGAAGAAAGCCAATCTTTCATCATTGGTGTGACTTTCAAAATTCACACAAAGAATATGGTTGAGGTTCCGCTCGGAATTGCCAAACAACCGGCTCCTTCCAAATTAACCACTGGGAAAAAGAAACCACCGCCTCCTCCTAAGTTCGCCATCATTGATTCATCAGACTTCAAGGACCGACAGGTGTTGGATTTCAAAATTTTTATGTATGGCAAGTCACTGAACAAGTTGAAGGACTTGGTTGGCGACATGTGCGACCGTTACTTCACCGGGATCAAGAAAGTTGTGCTTCATAGCGAGTTGACTCTGTTGTTGAACTGGAATGCAAGCATTGGTTCAAAGAAAACAAAATTAATTGATTTCAAAATTTATCAGGAGTTGGTCAACAATTTGGGAAAGAGTTGTTCCTCCAAAGGCATCATCCATATCATGCTGGAGAAACCGCAAGTGAAGGAAAATAAGAACACCCAGGTGAGATTGTTTTGGTGTTCCACATCCTCTCAAGTGTTTTAACTGATTTCATTTGCTTTAATGTGCTCTTCTGAACCCTGTGGCTCATAGGCTAGCGGCGCGGTGGCTTTCATTCAAGGCACCGCTGGGCCCAACACAATTGAAGCGGAACTCACAGCTTCCAAGGAGGAAACCGTGGCGGCTAAAGAAGAGACTGTGGTAGGCTTGGTGTCAACTTTTAATCCTTCCACATCTTTCTCTGATCACTTGTTTCTTTCAACACTCATGTAGGCCGTCAAAGCGGCTAAGGAACTTGAACTTGATGCAGTGTCCATTTACCAGGATCACCTCAAGCGAGCCCTCAGAGGTGATGGAGCTATCTTGACGGCCCCTTGGGACCTGAACTTCCACTATTGATTTACACATTGATGTGCGTTCATATGGGCAACAGCAGTGGTAAGCTTGTCCATCCCATCCTGTTTTCCCAGCCTAAGCTGACATCAAAGATCCACTGCAGTGTGATGGCTTAACAACCCGCGGAATATCTCCTAACACGGTCAAATACAAGCGTGAGATGTTCAAAAATGCCCTTGTTCATAAGGATATGAACGTCAAAGACCATGTCAAGAAATGCTACCCTGTGGCCACCCCAAGAGCCAAACAAACTACCTTGAAGCAAAGGAATTTCTTTGCCAACACTCCTCCCGTTGAAATGAAGATCAAGGTTGAACCAATCAGTCCTTCCGGTTCCAAACACGATTTGAAGATTAACTCCTCCTCCAGCGAGGTAGCTTCCCACAAGAAAGTCAAGAAGGAACCTTGTGAGTGTATGCAGTGTCCAGATGACCGCCAATTTCTTAACAGAGCATTGAATGCCCTTCAAGTTAGCTAATTGCCTCATTGAGGCGGCAGCCGAGGCGGATTTTCAAAATCAACCTTCCACTTCCGCCAATTGATGTTTGTTCAAATGTCCCCACCTTTTGATTAACCACTACCAAAAATAAAATTGTTCTAAATTGTTTCTTTTGGCGATTCACTTGTATTTTTGCTCATACATGCAACATTTCCCTTTTTCAATACCTTTGTTAACTCTTTCAATTTGTTACCTAGAGAGTCACTCAGTTTGTAAACGGTCTCAATGGCCTTATTTGGAATTATCACTAGGTTATTGTTTGTGAATCAACGATGCCATTTTGCCCCTGTTGGCATCCCAAAGTTGTCGCGCTACCAACTCCCCATTGACTTGTGAAAACGCCAGGAATACATGCTACCAAGTATCCCTAGCGTTTGGCAAAACACCAGTTGCAAACACAAGTTCACCATATTGAGAACTTGTGTTTTTGTCTTCGAGAGTCTTGCGGTCATAACCCTTGAAATTTTCAAGTGGCTGTTCAAAATCTCAAGAATCTCATGTGGATTTGATTGCCAATACAATATGAGACTTGATGAGCCATGGCTTTGGTTCTAATGATGGTCTCTTTGAAAACCACACAAACTACAGGACAAGCTGACTCAGCAAAGGCATGCTTTTGATTCCAAATCTTTTGATGGTTTGATTTCAACTGCCACTGTGGCATGACAGGAAACAAAATAAAGCATAGGGTACAACATCTCGATTACAACTGGTCTACATATAGCCACTACCTTTGAAAAGCTTCTCGCACAAACACTCTGTGAAAACTTCCATCATGGAAACCCATACCACAGCTTGCTCGCCATCAGCATCAATGGCCCCTTGAGGTCCCTGGGTCCTTTGGAGGTTTGCTTTCACTGGTGAGAAACCCTTCTCAATTGGATCCATGGGTCCAGCTCACCAAGTTGTCTTCCAAAAAAACTTTGAAATTGATGTGAGAATACCCACCTCACTTGATGGTGATTGCCAATAAGCCATCCAATGAAATAGCCGGTAACACTGACGAACAGCCTGATTGAGTTGGCCTGGCGAGTTAGGGGGTACACTCTCCAATGGGTGCATGTGCGTACTCGCGATACATACACCGTTTTGCAATCACGGTTTCATCTAGGGGTCCAAGACGATTGAAGAATCAGTATATAGCGAAACAATCCATAAAGAAAGCATTGACTTACCAGCAAAGACAAGGCAACAAGGGTCAATGTCCAGTACCCTTGCCATATAAGCCCCTCGGGTTGCCAAACTTTGATTCAGATGAACGGTATGTGCTTTCTTTGGTGTCCAACACAATCTGTCGCGTAGCTCAGTTGAAAGTGTCTTGATTGATACATGTTTATTAAATTGATCCATGATCTTGCTTTGGAGTTTGTCTAGGTATAATGTTGGGTCAAGGCAAAGGCTATCAAGGACAAAGAGACGCTCGGATCCTCCTAAGACTAATGGTGCACCACGATCCATACGGTCCAAGGGATTTGTTACAACGGCCTGAGTTTCCTGGTAGAGATTGACCCAGCGATGGACCGAAGTAAGGGCTAACTCCATTCCAAGAGTCCTAGAAATATTGTGAAATTGAACCCCGGTGAGGGCTAAGCAAACAACTGCAAGATTGATTTCCGGGCTATGATGAGAGACCCAGAACTGGAAAGCAGTCATATGAGCCTTGCAAGATATGAGATCAGGAAACAAAAGAAAAAGACTCACCGGTGGCATATCAGTTTTGTGCCAAATTTGAGGTAGGATGGTTGAGGTAGAAATAATAGAGGGACAAAAGAATAGGTGGATGAGGTGAAGCAAGACAGGAAATCACGGATGAGGGATACTCGAGTTGGGAAGAATGGGTGGACAAGGTGAAGCGAGAAATCACAGATGAGGTCTAACCCACTGACCCCTCTAGAACCGTGATTGGAACCTACCAGAAGATCCACCACGTGCCGCGTGAGATTCCGTGGGAATATGTCAAATACGTCGACAGTTCCCTTAACTATATCCCACTTGAAAAATAAAGAAAACTTGTTTTTTCAACAAGTCAGAAATTAAATAAAATCTAGGAGAACAAAAAAAACCATTATTTCTCACAAAGGCTGTAGCTCTAGATGATCCCAGGAGTGGCTCTCAGAAGAGTAAGGATCATCCGGAGCCAGTGTGGAAGAGGAATGTATACAACGTGTCTATCTAAACCCATCAACTAAACCCATGATGACTCTACATGTCTATGTGTATCCTTACACTCGGGCTTGACCCTCACTACAAGCATTCAATTGCTCCTCAACAAACAGCCTGTCTTAATAAAGATACATCCAGCAAAATTGGGATATCTCAAGATACGTTTCAAGAGACGATTGAGATTAATTGTAAAATAGGTTTGTAAAGTATGTGGGGCACCTCAGATCTTGTGATGAGATAGTTACACAACCTCAGATGCAGATATGGTGCTTAGTGCTCAGCTGATAATCCAAAACAAAATAGATGCCCCAGTCAAGGTATGACTTAGTGCGAAATTCTATTTGAGAGAAGGTATATGTGATTGAGGCATGCACTGGGTGGCACACATTCCAGAACTTCATTGATGTGTCGCTTTATTCTGTGTTTTAAGGAGCAAGATTTTTGTGGAAATAGAGTTTCAGTTAGCTCTGATTCTATGTGTTGTGAGGTTTCTGTGTCGCGTGAGATCTCTTCAAAACGAAAAGTAGATGAGCCGATAATCTTCGCAGGCTGAGAGTGAAGAAAGTGGGCCCCTTTGACATATTTTTATTTTGGAAGGTTATCAACATTCACAGGCATGTGTCTGGATGGCTCCTCACCAAGGCAGAGTAGAATTATGTGGTTTTCTGAACTTCATGAAATTCAAGGATGCCTCATGTCTGATAAGTTTTTGTGAACCCAAACGTCGCCGCTGTAAATTAGTAAACAATCTGAAAATCTGCGTTTTTCTCCGTGTGAGTCTGAGGTAAGCAATGAAGACATGTAAGCTCTCATTTAGGCTTGAAGACACAAGTTAGGTCAAAAGATAGGCTCATTGCTTGCATGCGTCGAAGTGAAAAATAATAAATTTGAATGATAACAATGACTGCAACTGGCGACATATAGTTCAGTGCGAGAAACGCGAGTCAGAGAATAGACAAGGCCACTGGCATACATCTATATCGTTCTGACAGTCAAGGGAGCAGATACCACAAAGGGAAGATGGAGTAACATCAAAAGAAAATTAAACCTCAAAGGAAAGATGAGACAAATACAGTCACAAGAGTGAGTGACAGAATGTCAACAGTGACCGAAAGAGACGAGCCACTAGTCTGGGATTCCGTCTGGTTCTTTAGGATAGTAATGGCGTAAGGCATGGTCAATAGTAGAAGCGTGAAAATAAAACGCGTGAATGAGTAAAACATACCGATGCAGAGGGTGTGTTACCGGTATCAGTGGCATTATTAGTCGTGGACGAGGCAGTGGGGTTACTGCCAACAGCAGCGGTAGGGTAGGACGAAGTGCTGATGGTGGCGTTAGTACTAGCTTGAGTAGCACTTCCGGCGGGAGCGGCAGTCTACATGTCCGTGGTACTTGCTTGTGATAAGTTTTGACGTGCATAGGTTTTCAGTCAACTGTGATAACGTACCACACTGGATTGGGTGTCCTTTGAAGTAGCTGTATAGCCATCGTTAGCAGTAGGAGCAACGGGATCGGGTGATGGTTGGTTCGAGCTGTCAGAAGTTGGCTGGTCTTTCGGTTTGTCATCTTTGGGTTTGTCGTCTTTGGGTTTGTCAGTGGTAGGGGCTTTCTTAGCAGGAGCCGGTTTCGCTTCAGTGGTGTCATCAGATGAAGGTTTCTCTGGGGCAGGGGTTTGCTTGTTTCCAATATTGACCCCAGCAGCAGCAGCTTTAGAAAACAAGTCAGCTCTCGATGAGAATGAAGAGAATTGAAAAAGTCTGCCACCAACCTGCTTGAGAAAGATCAAGTGAAATTCCAAGGGAGGCAGAAGTCTGAAACGAAGTGTGGTGTCATTTTCGTAGTTCATGCGGCCCCAATTGTGAATAAAAAGAAAAAATGGTCATACCTTGACCGCCCAGTTCGCCATTGCGATTTGGTCTGATGGCGAGCAAGAGCTTAGTGCACACTTAGTGACAGAGTCCTTGAAAGTGCCACTGTTAGCAAGGCACTTGAAATCGGTCTAAGCAGTGAGAAACATTGCCACATGGCAGTACAAATGAGTTAGAATTTGTTCATATAAATTCTTGAACTGGAGCAGATGATAGTCAAGTAAAAGGAGCTCTACTTACCAACGGACAGCCTGAGCTGCCGGAGGTCGCAGCTGTAATAAGACAGTTTTGACCACAGCTTGGCAAGCTAGAGAAGTCCGCAGGGAGAGCTTGTCTACGCTCTGCGCTGAAAGCGAGGGTGAAAGGAAGAGAAGCTAAAAAGAGTGTGCTGTAGACTGAAGGCATGGTTGGTGAAATCGTTATAATAATTTAGATAAATGAGGTATATCCTAGTAAAGTGGCTTCGTGGTCAGAAATGTAGAAAGTCTGCGAGTGATGCGATGAAGAAATTGGACTACATGACCATGATAGAGGGCTTTAAGTACTCTGAGCCACAGGAGGGCTAAAGCATGGGCTGCAAGAGAATCCTTCATGATTTACCAAAGAAGTGAACGTAGCATGGGAAAGTCAAGATGAAGCTCGATATGGTTAGATATTGAGCTCAATGCAGAGGCTTAGCGCGGAATTGCTTCGACTGATTATGAGTGCAGATCTGGGCTCTCACTACAGCACAGCACACTTGATCACGCAGTGCCTACGATACTTAGGTATAACCGAGATAAACTCGGGGGTGTGAAAACAATTGACGAAAGAAATGTAATTCAGCAGCCAGATCTGGTAAGAAATGATACTCTACAATTATTAAATCTATCAAGACAGCGGCGGGGAATGCGGCTTTGCTTGCACCCACCCGAGATGGGATCTGTTCGGTGTGGTCAAAATGACATCACTGCGTTGGCGAATTTGTAGCCGCGCACAAGACCTTGATGAATGACATTGAGAAGGCCATGCGTGACGCCGGTGCACAGAGTTCAAATGCCATATCCAGGATTGCAGTCCTCCCAGGTACCTGAGCGATTCCGCTTTAGGTTGGTAGGCTTTCGAGCCGAGCTAAAACGGCGCAAATTGTGTTTGGGCTTTTTGGGATGCAGTAAGATACGCATTGGAGACCTCTTGTATCCGCGGAGCTTGAAAAGATACCGCATCCGTGTGCTGCTTGTGCTTGTATATACTCCTTTGTGAACCTAAGTAGCACCTGTACTAGACAAGCTGACCATATTCACTTATGGTGTTTTACATTCAGCTTTCTCGAATAAGCCCTCCAAGAAAATCTTGTTGAACTAGTCTGAATCGCAAAAATCGCTCTTTCGACTGTGTTCTGTAGCAGCCAAAATTATGAAGGGAGGTTGAACGTGCAGATGCGCATGTGGAATAAGTTTCCAGTAGGTATGCCAGACGGCATTGGAAGAGGCTAAGCTTTATACTGTGGCCTGGGCGCGAATTTTGGGGTTTTCAAAGACACGCCTATAGTTGGGGCGCTGAGACGTGCCTCTGAGGTGTTAAAATCCCCTCAAATAGCAAAAAAGAAGGTAACATAACGCTCATGTGGAAAATAGAAGATGAAAGCAGCAGACCGTTCCTTTTTTTTAAGTGCTTATTGGCATTAATTGCATACAACACTATCTAAATAAGTTAAATAAGAAATTTAAGGACTAATTTACCTTAGAGAAACGGCCATATAGTCGGAGCAAGGGATTTCGTTGACGTTTTGGACTTCTGATGATGAACTTTTTTTTACCACATTTAGGGTGGATACTGAATGTTATTATCTTTCCGTAAGGAATTGAGGTAATTGAAAAAAAAATTGAGCTGGAATATTGAATATTCGAAAAAAACTCTTTTGTTAATCACCTTTAGGCATTTAGCCCACCCGAAGGAGGCGGTGATCCTCTATTCCTTCGCGTCTATGTGTGCGTTAAGCACTCCCAATTGAGGGATTCGGCGTTGGAGGTATGAGTCATTTAGACTCAAGCTTCTTGTGGTTTTGCAACAGCGCTGGGCAGGCATTTGATCCCCCTCCCTAACCCCCTGTCCTAGAGTCAACCGGAGTCACGGGGGACAGCAGACCGTTCTAAATGTATTGTATCTCATAATACTGCTGTAGATTAGCGGGTCTCAAACCTAACCCGGTTGCCAAGAACCCCGGTACACCCAGTTGCTTTTTTGGCGGTAATTTTGTGTATTGAGTTGACATTTTTGAAACCTCCCAGCCAAAAACAAAACCAGGTTTGGTTTGAAACTGGCTATTTGATTGACGATTATTAAAAAAAACATCAATGAAAAGATTGTCTTTGTCCCAATATTTGTTCCCAGGTCCCTGATCTATAACAATAGGAGCAGGTGTTTCTGCTTCAACTCTAATATTAAATAATCTTCAATCAAAAAGTGTATCTATATAGCTACTTTCAGTAGCATACTCTTGCCCTTCTCCCTGATCCACCTCATCTTTGCCATGAATTCCATTTTCAAACTCTTGAACTTGGTCAAGACTTTCAAATGGAGGATCTAAGTATTGCAAGTCATTGGTAGCAGCAGTTTGATTGGTATTGGTGGTTGGTCTGGGCACACAATTTGGTTGCTTGGATTCAAGGTCCATCTTGTTTTGAGACATCAACTACAATGTTGAGACAAGATGTGATCTGGAAATTTTATGGATGCTACATAAGGTTTTTTCACCCATAATCACATGTAAACTGGGTGGTATAAACATGAGCACACCAGCCCCAAAATCAAGCCTGGAGGCCTGCCCTTGCACCCTGCCCACCACATGATTTATGCCGCTTATGTGGTGTACACATATGTAGTACTTTAGCACTACCACAAAGCAGTAGAATTAGATTATGCCCATGAAAACTAAACAAGAAATCTGTAGACAGAAATGTGACAGAGATAGAAGAACACCAGCCCCTTCGGAAACAACTTGTCGTCAATAAATCTGAGGCAGGATTGGACTTGGTTAAGTTTGGCTAGCAGAGTTGAGAGGAACAACTTGTGTGATGCATAGAGTTTTGTTGGAAGCTGAAGAGAGTCTTTGGCTTTTATAGTGTCCCTATTCTTGAGAAAAATGATTGTGAATCAGACAAAAAATAGGAGAATCATTTAGACAAAACTCAAATGATTTCAAGAAATGACTGAGAAGGTGAACTTACATGAGTTCAGTCATCTTTCCATCAGTCTTGCAAAAAAAGCAACAGATGGTTTGAATATGACATGTTTGCCTGATCTTTTCAAAAAAGTCCTTAGCTTCTTGTAGGCTGTGGCCATTCAAAAGTGTGATCTTGATATCCTGTCATGAAATCAGTGTTTGATTCTCATCAGGCGCGGCTGAAAAAAAATGAGAGAATGATTCAAAAGACTTACGTAATTTTATGTAACACCAAAGATGCTTAATGGGATCAAATTCACAGTGAAACTTAGGCAGAAAATTGCAGATATGACCCGCCTTCTCAATTTCCTGCTGAAGCAGTGGCTTTTCATTGGCAAAGTCAGATTGGTTTGCTAGCACCTTGTGTGCACAACAGTTTGGAATATCTACCACGGGTAAAGCATTGCTAGGAGTTGGGCAATCTTTTTCTTCAGGAATATTAGCATGTCAAAGTAACTGCTTGGCTCAAGCAATTTTATCCTTTGCACTTCCAGTCATCTTGCAGGCCTTACATTTCAGACTCATCTCTTTTTCACCTCGCGAAGCACATAGTTTGTTGTGATGATCCCGCACGCCATGCTCAATGAGAATTTTCTTGATCCCTTTAGGTTTTCCTGCCAGGTCTTCTGTTTTAGCAGCTTTCCCACGTTTAGATTTCTGGGATGGAGCCGGGTTGACATAATTGGGCAAGAAGTTCATGGTTTGAACTTTTCCTCAGAGTTCTATTGGAATATTAGGATTTTCAGATGGGATAACAGTGTCCCTAAGCTTAGCCTTTGCACCACCCGGTTTGAGATTCATCTTGATAGGTGGAGAGCATCTGAAGCACAAGACTTGTGTGCTGCAGAGCATTCAAAAATAAAGCATCCTTGAGCCTTTGGATGCTTGTGTTCGAATATCAGAATGGCTTGAGTGACGATCTGTTTGATAAGTTGCTGAGCATCCCACCATCCCTTCTTAGATCCGGGTTAGATTGTGACAGCCGCATCTCAAGATGGCAGTGTTGAGATGGTTTTGGGAGGTAGTACAAGCCATCCAGTTGCGAGGCAGATGAAGTCGGAGATGTGAATCAATTTACCAATACTTTCCTTGACCCTTGTCTCAAGCTCACCACTGTTGCAGCCCAAACAGTTGAATCACTTGCCTGGGGACCTGAGGACCTTGTCAGGAATGGTTTTGCCTCAAGTGTTGTAGAACTCCTACGCAGTGTAGCGTAGGCTGAGCCGGAGAAGGTAAGAATCACCACTTGTGAGAGCGGATGAAACTACGGTGCAGTTACGCTGCCTTCAACCTTAAAATTATTGCAGTTCGAAAAGAACTAGAACAACTCTTAACAATTTTCTATCCCCACAAATTCCTCCCGTAACACAAATTTAAGATTTTCAAAGGATCCGCAAGGTTTGGCGGACTCCGATGATACCACACACAACTCTACACGATGTTGTGGTGTAAAACTACGTTGATTTCAATGTTAACACGGCTAGGTAGCACATGTAACAATGGACAGGGCCGAAATGTAATTTCGGATCCCTGACTCGACCCGGCCTCGACTTGGATCAAGAGGCGGGTTTGGCGAAGTTGATACAGTCCTAACTCGACGACTCCACAACTAGTTTTCGACGCAGCTCAGCAACAAGCAAATTCAACACTAATAAACAGCACAGCAACTTCGATTTTAACGCTAATACAACCTTTCTTGACGATGCTGCAAGGTGAAGTAGTTTCTCTAATCCACCACTTCTTTTCTTTTAACTGATTATCTAATAACTAACTAAACAACTCCTGTGGTCTTCTAACTCTTGAACTTGATATAGGTCGATCGCTCACAACGCTTGTACGGTCACTTCAACACAAAAAACACTTCTAATAACTCTCAATTCAAACACAAAGAAAATCACACTAGGACACAAACACACACCCAGAGACACTTGCTCTTCAAGACACACAGATCAATCCCCCTTTATATATCTTTCCCTAACCAAAACCACAACTCGGCCTCAAGGCTCTTTCCGCAATCTTTCCCCGCTTCGTTCCTTTTGCTCTGACCGATTCCGACCGATCTCTTGGCGTTTCTCATGCTTTAAACAATCGATTTCCTTCGATTCAACATCAAAATTTGACCTGTGATCGACTTTGAACTAGTAAGTCCTTCCTTTTCATCCTTATCTCCTTCCTTTTCTTCCATTCCCATACTAACTTTACTTCCTGTCTCTTTCTTCTTATTGATTTCGATCCTGGACCCTGAAATTGATATTCATCTTCTCTCACCAACAGTGTATGTAATTCATTTTCGATTTTGACTTTCAAT